ACTATCATTGTCAGTTTGGGTTTTGTAAATCACAATCTTCATATAATTTTGCTTAAAATGGAGGAAACTTAGAATTTCCTCTAAGTTTAGAGATAGGAAAAATGTTTGCTAACTTCTCACCTTCCCAAAGGAAATGGAGGGAAGGATGAGAGGGGCATTTTAGAGGCTTGGTATAATGAACTGATCAAAATATGAGATCATTTACATAAATTACTTAGCACATAACTTGGTATTCACACATTCCACACATCTTTCTCTAACACCTTCTGTGTGACAGTCACTAAGCTAGATGCTGAGAATACAATGGAGAATGAGAGAGCTATGGTTCCTGCCCTCATAGAGCTCAAAGCCTAGTAGTGGAGGCACACATTAGGCAGAAGTTTGGCAATAATATGGGTGTAAGGGTAAATACAAATTGAAAAAGAAAAAAATCAATTTTCCTTAGTACAAAAAGAGAGACTCTCCCCTACCCCTTTTCTTTCTAAGCATTTTCTTTAGAAAACATGTAAGTGTAAATTCTTTTATATCCTTTTTTAAAACCTAAGCCTCTTGCCAGCTTTATAACCCAAGAATGTCTTTCCCAAGGTCTGGGAGCTCTTTTCAAAATGTTGTCATCATAGAAGATAGTGTCAAAGAAAGCCAGAGCTAGATAGAAATTAAAGCAGTAAAGGCAAATTTTATTCAGGAACTATTTCAACTAGGGAAGACAGACCTCAGTATAGAACTGAGCTCTGTTCTGAATACAAGGACAAGTGGGAATCTGCCAAGGAGCAGGGTAGGGCAAGTGGATGGAAAATTACTAAGAGCAAACATTAAGGGCAGGCAGTTTATGGCTAAGTGGACTTGGAAGCATTATTTTTCAAGTCCCGAGGAAGGCAGACCAGGGTGTTCAGATACTGAAGGTTGGGGAGGAATTTGATCAGATATCAAGGGTGGAAGAATTCCTGCTAGGCTGAACCAGCAGGATTGTTGCTAAAACTAATCTAGCAGAACCAAGAACAGAGCTCAAGGGTGAGGCCAAGTCAGAAAGGACTCAGGGAAGCCTGATTAAAGTTTGATTAGAAGGAGAGTCTTTGTCAATAGCATCACAGTCTCCTGGTTTCTGTAGGAGGGTAAGAGCTAACTTCAGTGATGCTTTGCTCCAAACTTACTATCATAAAAAATGAGGGTTTTTTTTCTTTTGGACAAGTTTAACTAGCACAGATTTATCACATGATTTTAAGATGAATGTGTGAAAAATTGTGCTGTCAATTCCTCCTATTTGAGAACATGCATAGGATAGGTTGTATCTGCTTGGCTATACAAAAAGGTAAGATTTATCTCTGTCTGCAGTCTCTTTAAGGGATTGCCTGTGAAAAATACCATATTCTGGTGTAATGTTTATTCAGTAACAAAACTGAAAAAAAAAATCTTTTCCTTCTACCTTTGTGGAGATGTTTTCTGGGTTGTCTGGAGATTTGGGTTTTAAATTATATTTCCCCAACAGGGAGAGTGAGAGTTTTCAAACACTCTTGGTTGGAGGGAAATCTCTGAGAGCCATTCTGCAAAGTTCTCAGATGATATTTAGTGAAGTTTATATGTTTCCTTTTTGCCCAATAATTCTATTGGCACATATCCTAGAGAAATTTTCCTTAAGAAAACAAGTACAGGGCATTCAATACAGTATTGTTTATTGGAGTCAACCTAGAAGCCCATCACTAGGAAAACAAACAAGAGATAAAAATGGTGGATATATATTATGGAGTATTGTGCAGAATATAGAAACAACGAACTACATGAACATACAGAAGCAAGAACAGATCATAAAATAGCACTAAAAGAAAAGTAATCAGAAGTTACAGCATGTTACCATTTATATAAATAAAAAATTGACACAAAACAATGCCTGCTTTTCAGAGCCAAATGTGCAACTCAAGGTTTATGAGAAACATTAGGCTTGTATTTTTGTTTGGGATGGAAGTGGAATTGGAGAAAAAAACTGAAGATAAAATGAAACAAGGGTCTTATGTGAACAACTAATGATAATGTGCTATAACCTGAGGAATACAATCAACTTTCTGAGCCTGAGGAATAAAGAAAAGACACAAAAGAAAAGAAATAAAGAACAAAGAATTCTCCCACAAAAGAACTGATGGTCTCTCTAGTGACTTAAGACTACTATCCCTGCTGAAAGTCACTGTCCCTCTATTTCCTACCTTACAGCTTAATACAAATATAATAGGATGGTAAAATGAGAAGGCTGTATTGTGTAAGACAGAATAGGTGTCTTTACAATTCTATTTTGGCTGCCTCTTAGGAAAGCTTGTCCATTAATTTTTTGTCAATAAGTCATGGACAGATTAACTTTTTTAGAAAGCCCCACTAGAAATAAAAGTTTATCTAATTAAAACTTTACTTCAGAAGAACTAACTTTTCATTGAATAATGTATGTTCATTGCCAGACATTAATAACAAGGGCTTCTGCTGATGGCTTTGTTTAAGTGCCACATAATTATCTCTTCCACTGCCAAGTAAACCCTAAGTGGTGCTGCATTGTTTTATGACATATCAAATTCAAATGTGAGACAGTGAATTTTCACAGATAATCTAAAAAAATCACTAATAAGAGAGTGCTCATTTGCATAAGGATCAAATGTCAACAAGAATATAAAAATTAAATGAGCATTTGAAATCTCCAAACTTCTGGTTCTCTGAAATTAAAGGCATTACAAAGCCAAACTGCAGCTAAATGTCACCACAGTTCTCTACCAATAATGGTAGGGCTTTTAAGGAAATAAATGTAACAGCCAATTTAAAATGTCTTAAATAACAAATTATTATGCAGCTCAAGATTTTCTTATTTAGGTCTGTAAAATCACCTCTATTTTATTTAAATGTTTCTTCTCTAAATCAGGCAGTGACACAGTAAGTTTACTATAGTCCATAGTAATGTAGCTTCCCACCTGTTTTCAGATTCAAGATACTTTTACCTATAAATAGATTTAAATCTGTATGTTTTGACCTTTGTCTGGGAGTATGAGCAGAAAGATGAATGACATGAAGTATTTTTTTCATTTAGAATGTTTAATTTGCTTGACTTTTAGTTTCAATTTCTTTGTTTCTTGTACAGACACATAAAACCATATCATGAAGAAACCTTAAAGTGAGAAAAAGAGATTAAAAAGAATGGTCACTGATTTTTGTATTCTTCCTGTGGCTTTTAAATGTTACCATCTTTTGCTTCAAATACTATCTAGAATATGTTGTCCTTAAAGAATTACTCAGGACAAAGGCTTTAGTTTGACAAGTCACAGATGGCTGTTAGTCTACAGCTATACAGGATCTCTGCCTCAACAGCTGACTGGCCAAATTCTTGAGTTTACCTAGAAATAACATTCTTAGAATTGCTTGTTTATATAACATAAAGAAAACTGTGTTAGCTCTCTCCAAGTCTGGTTAGGAAAGTCACAACAGATTTCTAACAATATACTATGATAATCTTTATACTTTTATCCAAAAGAGCTGCATCCCTCAAAATAAGCAGCTTAATGTAGATAATTTATATAATTGATCTGATCCAATTTCTTAATCTAAAAGTTTAGATTTTTGAATTATTGTTATCTAGTCTTTATATTCTTATGATGAAAATTTTCCCGGATAGGTCATCTTGTTCAACTAGATTTTCAGAGAAGATAATACTTAAAGTACAAATATGAATCAGATTTCTCTGGCATTTGTCTTAAACCCCTAAGCCACAAATATTTCAATTAATTTTTAATTGACAGAAACAAATTCCTGTGAAATAAAAATGTAGAAATTGTTTTTCTGTATGTTTTAGGCAATAGTACAAAATTAATCGAATCATGACAAATATGTTGATAGTTATGCAGAAATTTTAAAATCTGCATGCCTATATTTTTCTTGAAAAAGCAGTCCATTGTATGAGGCAGCCATCTGGTGACGGAAAAGAGCACTACAGACAGTATTTTAATGAAGTGAATATCAATATTCCACACAAACCAACCGAACCACAAAAATATATAGTAGCGTTGTCCAGCAGAACATAAAAGTTACATATGTAATTCAACATTTTCTAATTGCCTCTTTTAAGAAGTAAAAAGAAACAAGTTTTATGAATGCATTTTTACTTAACCAAATATATCAAAACTATTATTTCCACATGTAGTCAATACAATATTTTACTTTTTTTCATACTAAATCTTCAAAAGAAGATATATTTTTTTTGCACATTTCAAGACTTCAAAAGGGTTGAGGGTAGGGGCTTCCATAATGGACAGCACAGATCTGGACTATGCAATGAGAGCTGCGGTTACCTTGATTTGCCTTTCACAAAGTTCATTCATTTCTCTGCCTCTCTTCTTTAAGTACTGCTTTATTTTCTAAATATGTTTTGCGTCTGAACATTCTGGAATATTTAAATGGCCCTGAGAAGCCTGTTCAAGAACGACAGACCCGTTCAGGGCCCCTCCTCTCCGGAGGGTACCGGGGCGTTGGTTTGCCCGATTCGGCTCGCTCGGGGCTCAGCGGTCTGGGCGGCGGCCAGCTACATTCCTGGAAGGCCACGATCGCGGGCCGCCGGAGGGAGGCCCAGTCGGGGGATCAGGGCCTGCCTGGTCGGCTGGGCGCCTTGTGACATCACAGCGCCACGCCTCGGGGGTTCGAGTCCAGCAAGGCTCCCGGCTTCCAGGCCCAGAGGGTCAAAGATTTTCAATGGGAGAGAGCCAGGACTGGAGGAGGAAACCAGGTCCCGCCACCATGCCCACAACTCGATGCTTCCTCTGACCCGGCGAAGGCAAGGGAAAAGAGCGCGCAGAAACGCAGAGAGCCGCGAGCAGACAGCTCCCCACCATTTCCCAGGAGTACCAGCGGGGTATTCTGGATGGGCCCCTACCTCTGCTGATTGGTTCAAGTTTGCTGCCACGTGACCCAGGGTCGCCGCTTCTTCCCCCATCCCCCACCCGGAGGTCGCTGGAGGCTGAGAGCGGGTTTCCTAGGCAACCCAGCGGGTAGTGTGTACACACCAGGCCCGGGGCTGGAGGGGATGTCGTGTCTTCTGCTACAAGACAAGGATTGAAAGGTCGGAGTGGATTCTGCTCTGTCTCGGATTGCCCCGGAATCCATCTCTCTCTACGGGATAAGGTGAGTGTCTGCCACCTGATGACCTTTCGGGCGTCCATCAGTGTAAGCAGGCCCCGGGAGTCTGCAGCCCTCTCCTGGCTCACCGGCGGCCGCACTGGAAGAACACAGGAGAGCGTCCAAGACCACGGTACTGGTGCATTGAAGATGATAATAATGAGAGACTGTGACATGGCTTTATCTGAGGCCATTAAGGTGACCGGGCAAAGCTTAAGAGGAGGAGAAAAAGGAGGGCGACCCACAGCCCAGGGCAGCCTTGACTGCACTGGTTAATGGAACTGGGCTGAGAAAACTCGGTGGCCAAACTTGATACTACTCACCAGGAGACAGAAAAGTGTTTGGCCCATTAGTGATTAACAGGTGGATTCTGATCCTTTATACCCAAGGGAGGAAACAGTTTGACCATATAGGCTTCTAGTTAGTAGAAAAGAAATTTTATTTTTCTCAGAATGGCAACCTACCTTGCTCTCTACTTTGTACTCTCAGTATTATTATACTCTGACTGGTCATGTACAGCAAGTATTTCTTTAAACTAAACCATATAGAACCCTGGGCATGACGATTCAAACCATTCAGCAAACTTTTACAGGCACTGACAGGTTCCCGGTGTCTGCCTTCAATGAACAAGTAGCCTGGTAGGAGGAAGGACCTGCAAGCCTCCAGTACAGCCGGCAGGTCTATATGTGGGCATATGCAGGCCTTAGCTGGGGTCACACACAAGAGAATGATTACAGTACTACCAGAGACAACTAAAGTCTTCACGCAGAAGATCCTTGGTTTAAATATTTAAGTATGTATGGAGTATGCCATAAAGTCAAGGGACAGACATTTTAGGGAAGGGAAACAGCAAATGTCAAAGTACAGAACTATCCCACCAAATTCAGAGTAGCTGTAACCAGAGCCTGGGTGCTCTGGGCAGTTTGTGGTTGATGAGCTTGAGAAGTGAGCAGGTATGAAAGCAGAAGACCATGAGAACCTTCCAAGGAGAGGAGCCTGAGCAGCTTTACTTTTCAGCAGGCTGGCTGCCATAGTAGGCTGGATTGGAGGGAAGTGGGACTAGAGGGAGAGTATCCAGTGAGGGCTGAAATGATGACGGCCTGGACCAAGACAGATGCAACTGGAATGTGAAGGAGGAAAAAAACACCTGATAGACTTTAAGAGGTATATGCAGAAGGATTTAATGAGGAATGAATGTGAGCAAAGACCAATAGAGTGGTTGAGGATAAGTCCCAGGTTTCAGACATGGATGATTAGAAGGATGGTGTCATTTACCAAGAGAAGGCATACATTAGGAGAAAAAGGCTGACAGGAAAATATAAGGAGTTCAGTTTTGACCATACTGAATTTGAGATGCTGTGACATATTCAGGTGGCGTTTTCCATGTGGTTATTTGGATTTGTTGCACAGGAAAGAAGAAGATAAAGATTAGTAATTTTTCACCAGGAAGAAAACAGTTGATCCAGAAAAGTAGGTTTCAAATAACAAGTAGGAAGAAGCCAATGAGGAAAAGACAAACCAAAGAAGAACACAAAGAAAAGAGAGTCATCCACACTGTCAGATACCAAGTCAAGGTCAACTTAAGTTGAGAGGTAAAACATGTCCAGTGTCCTTGGCAATTAGCTTTCTGTCAAAAAATGGAGGCCTGAGGTGTCCACAGTAAGATTGCAGTGAGCTGAGAACTGAATAGAGGTAATGAAGTGTTGCAAATGACTATCTACAAGTCTCTCTTTGAAGATACTTAAAACTAGTTAGAGAATGCAAGATAGTATAATTTTTTTTAAGATAGGAAGGACTTAACTAACACAGATATGTGGAAAGAAAAATGACCCTAGAGAAGGAAAGATGGGAATGAGAAGGAGGGAAATTTGGCAGACCAGTGTTCTGAAAGAAACTGAAGAGGGTGGAATTAGTACACAGGAAGAAAGATTCGCATTGGACAAGAAAAAGAATGCTTTTACTAAGACAGGAAGGGGAAGAAATGCAGTTTTAGGAAGAAAGGGAATTTAAAGAATATATCTGAATGCTTCGCTTCTCTGTGAAGATGGGGACAGGATCATCTGCTGAGAGAAAAGGAGAGAAACTGGAGAAACGTGGTGGAAGTTTAGAATAATCCCTATGTCATGAATCGCAGATCTGTATCTCTAATCCTACTTTCTGTAGGAGAGGAAGATGAAGAGGATAGTATAAAATGTCTGTTGTTGAAGATCCAGCTGAAGTTAGAGGCCATGCATTTGCAGTGACTTAAACTCATGCTGGTGATGTGAAATCTTCCAGCAGCACTCCAGAGTAGATAGGAGAGGTGATTGGATCAGTTCAAGATTTGCGGTTTGAAGGGTGAAAGATATAGAAACTTCTGGTGGCTCCTGCTTCCCTGGAAGGACTAGAAAAGACCTGTAGTTTCTTAGATGGTAAAGCTCTGAAAGGAGCTTTCCCAAAGTGCAGGAGAGTGGGTACAAGGTGGCCAACAGGACACATCTCCTGCTGGAATGGGAGCTTCAGCTGGAAGTCTTGGACCCACCTGTGACTGGGGAAAGCCTCATAAGGTTTTTACAAGTTATTTACAAGGAAGGTCCAGGATCCTCATAATTGAGATGTAGTTACACAAATTATTGAGTTTTGGGCTTCTTGGTTAATTTGTTTGCTCATTAACTGTTGAATTAGAACAAGATTTTTCCTAAGTGAGGGCCTTGATGAAGTGAGAGGTAAGGTTGATAACCCCAAATACACATTTTTCTTCATCAAGAAAAAGTAGTCTCCTTGAATTAATAGAGAGACTCAATACTGTAAAGATGGACATTCTCCCTAAATTCATCTTTACAATGGAATCTCAAAACCCCAAAAGAATTTTAAAAAGTTAAATACAAAATAATAATAAATCTTATCTGGGAAAGTAAATATGAAAGAATAACCAGGAAATCTCCAGAAAGAATATGAAATGGGAATCCACAATATAAGTCACAGTAAATCAAACAAGATAGTACTATGGGAATAGACAGCTAAGGGGGAGAATAGACTTGAAAGCTTGAAATTAGGCTCAAGTTTTTGTGACAGTTTACTGCATAACAAAGGGAACAGTTAATTTTTTCTGAAATAGATATCTTGGACATAGACTAGAAAACTTGGATCACCATTTGGTGTCTTTGGGGGTACTGAGGGCAGGCTTTGTCCCCAGTGTGGTGGTGGGAAGGCAGGCTTGCCTTTGCTGTTCACAGACATTAAACCAGAGTGTAGGGGCTTCTCTGATGAAAAGGTGCTTCAAAGCCCTGCTCTGCTTGGTGGGCCAGCCATCTAAGCCTACGCAGACTGGCCTGGGCTGCTGATGGAGTATCTAAATCCTTTCGGGTTGTTCCTTGCTAAGTTCCTGGCCACTCTTGCAGCCTGTGCTGTAATATCTGGGGGTTGCCCAAGGATGGGGTAAAAAGACAGTTGCCAGTGGGAAGCAGGGAGGGAACGATTGGTATTACATTCAAAACAGATCCATCATCTAACTACTCCTTACCATCCCCACTCTTACTACCCTACCCCAACCACCGTCCTCTCTCACATTATTTTCCCGAACTGCTCTCCTTGCTTCTGCCCTTGACTCCTACAGTCTGTTTTCACTTGAGTAGCTAGAGTGATCCTTTTCAAAACTTAAGACAGCTCATGTTACTCTTCCACTAAAATTCTTATACAGCTTTCCATCTTACTCATAATAAAATCCAAAGTCCTCACAGGACTTAAAGATCACAAGATATCACATGATCTCGCTCCATAATACCTCTTTGACTTCACATCCTTCCAATCCCATTTCCCTCCCTGTTCTCCAGCCACATCATTTTCCTTGCTATTCTACAAACATGCCAAATACACTCTTAGCCCTGGTTTTTTTTTGGATTTAATCTTCCATCTGTCTGGATTCATTTCCCCCAGATTTCCTCATCGCTCACACACACTTCCTTCAGCTCTGCCCAGATGCTACCTCATCAAGAAGTCTTCTCTTTCCTCCTACCCCTATCATTCTCTGACTTGTAGATATTAAGCCCTCAAGATACATGTTAATGTATGAGTGAATGAAAGAACAGAGAATCCAGTGTAACGGGATGATTTCCTGGCTGTGTTTTTCTTTGTGGTGCTAGTGGGGTAGGGTCCTTCCCCCCTTGACTCAGCATGGTGGGACAGAGTCCCCAGCTTACCAAGCCTTAGTACAAATACAGACTGTGTTCAGTACTCCCATACAGATCTCAGGGTCCTTTGGTTTGGTCCCCATGAATGGCTCACGGCCACCCTCTTCCCAGTCACTGCGGCTCTGAGTTTGGGGAATTTTTTAGGCTATTTTGTAAAACCTTTTTCTGGTGCCTTGAATTTTGGGCTGGTTTGTACTGGTGGGCTTTTCTCACTCTGATGCCATCTATTTCATTTTCAGTCTAAAGACCTTTCTCAACATCTCTGGCAACCAATGTTCTTTTCCTAGCACTGCTATATGTATTCTTTTCTTATTTTCATATTTCTCTCATCATTCTAGTTGTATTTGGTGGAGAGAAGGTAGGTAAAAGTGTGGACTCAAGTCACCATTATTTTCCTTAAAATGTTAATTTATGTGTATACCTACATGTATATAATTTTGCACAAATGAATGAAAGTGAACATATAGTTTAAAAATGAACATTTAAATTTTATTTAAATATAACATAGATATCTATGAATCACACAAATCTTAGATATCTGATTTTATTTCCCCAAAGTGAATGCATTCCTTTAACCAACACTCTGATCAAGAAAGATACCTTCCTCAGCACTCCAGAACCCCTCTTCTGCCTCCTCCTACTCACTCACTCACCCCTGAAAGGCAACCACTCCTCTGGCTTCTAATACCACAGATTAGTTTGATTTCAAATATTATATGAATGGTGTCACGCAGTATGTTCTCATTGTCCATGTATCTTCCTATGCTCAACATTGTGTTTGTGAAACTCATCCTTGTTGTATACAACAATGGTTTATTTCTCATTCCACTTCTAGCTATAAGCTGAAAAGAAATGTGTACCAATGTCCTGCAAGATAAAAATGTTCAAGAAAGTACTATTTAGCTCCAGACTGGATATAGTCAAAATGTCTACCAACAGTAGAATGAACAAATGATTATATATTCATGCTGTACCATACAAAACATGCTTTTAAAAAATATAATTTTTTTCTGTTCCATTTTTGCCTGGATCTATCCCCATCTAATCTCTCATGCCTATTATAACTACACAAGTTTTCACCTTCATTGAAGGTAACTCATGTTACAGCTTAGTACTTAACCTTTACACATTTTCTCCTTACATAACCATACACACACACATATACACCTGTCTAAGCTCACATATGTCTGTTAACAAAGAGCTATTATGGTAAAAGTAGGGTCATAATATATACCATTTCTATATCTAGCTTTGTCATGCCATCATACTGAAACCAAGATTTCTGTATTTTTAAAATAGTGTCTGGCATAAGACATTAAATAATATACATATTAATATATAAAAATGAAATTTTTGAAAAATTTTGACAAATAACAAAATTAAATTTTATTGAAGCTATTTAGGTATTAAGAAGTTCCTATCATCCAGAAGAAGTTGGCTAATTCATTTTAATAAACATGTATTACCATGCCAGGTATGCTGTTAAGCCCTGAGAATCCTTTTCTTTGCTAAATACAGTAAGAGAACTGTGTTCAGTACCACCCACAGTATAATGGGAAGGATTAACTGAGCCTTACAAAGTTGAGTAACATGGATATCACTAGGCAAGAACTGAAAGACATGAACTGGGGGCAAGATGAAGGTTTAGATGAGAGATGACTATGTTCTTCAAGTGTTAGAGGCTCATAGTGTGGAAGAAAAATGATACTTGTTTTATTTGAACCCAGGAGGTTGACAATGAGTGGGAAGGGTTATGGAGAGATAGAATTAAGTTAAGAATAAAAAGTAACTTTCCAACAGAAAACTTCAGTGATAGAATGGGCTGTCTCAGGGTCCAGATAGATTCTTGGTAATGTGTGAAAATTTCAGGCCACAGGTGAGTGGTTCCACCCAAGTAGCTTTAAGTTCCCATTCAACTTGGAATGACTTGACTCTAGCATTTATTTAATTTCAATTTTTCATTTTCTTTAACAGTTATAGTATTATGATCTTTATTTTTAATGGAAGATGATTGAATGTGAAAACCTAAACCAAGAAGAAATAATTAAAGAACTGGTGAGTCAAAGCTAAATTTTTTCTCAGCTGCATTTGCAATAATATTAAATGGAACATTTTAACACTCCTTTTTGGAGTTTACCTGCAGAATTCTTCTACCCTTTGACCTTCAGAAGCAGAAAAAAATCATATATATGTATAACTTTCCTTCTTGTAAAAATAAAAAATGGTATCAGTGCAATTGAGAGTTTGTAACTTATAATGGCCAAAGTAATTTTTTACTATTTTAACTAAATAATAACCCAATTTCTTTTTTGAAACCAGTGTTTATGCAATGGTTTATCTTATAAGATGATTGGACAAGAAGGACCAGATACTTCAAAACTGGAAATGTTTTTCTCAGGGTATCCCCGTATAGTTGGATTATCATTATTTCCTAATTTAACAAGCCTCACAATTGTTGCTCAAGATATAAAAGACATTTCAGGGCTAGAAACTTGTTTACAACTTAAAGAACTCTGGATTGCTGAATGCTGCATAGAGGTAAGTCTAAACATACCTTGTATGAAGTATTTTATGCTGAAATTTTTGCCTTTGGAAAAATAATTCATTGAAACATACGCATGAAGCATGAATCGAAACAGATAAATAGTGGAGTGAAGAGGAGACCATACATGATGAATTGCAATAAAACCCTTTACCCAGTAAAACAAAACAAAACAGATAAATGGGCAGAAAACAGAAATAAAATTTATACAAAGAAGAAAATAGAAATAGCCAAACATAAGATATACTCTACTTTTTAGTAATTAAATCAGATCAAATACCCAGTATTGCTTAGCAGTGAAATTGGTTCTATTTTTTGGTAGTGAAATTAGACACTATTGGTTGTGTAAAAATTGTAACATCTATATCAAAAGACAATATTGCAAATGAATGTATCAGGAGCGAAAGAAAGGTATATACCTTTTGACTCACAACTCCCTATTCTAAGATTTTATCTAACAGTTAATTCAACAGAAAACAACTGTATGTATGATTTGTTACAGTATTTCTTTTGATAGCTAAAAATTTGAAACATAAATATGCCACACATAAGGTTATTTTTAAGATAATTATTATAAACTTCATGAAATATTTTGTTATTCCATATTATAATTTAAAAGATTATTAAAATATTTTAGATAGTCAAGTAAAAAAAAACCACAAAGTTGTATAGATATGAACATAACCATATAAAAATAGGTACAGAGTTTATTAAAATTTATAAAGAATATGAAAATTGAAAATAGTTATATAAATGGAGGGATTATATGTTTTTATTTAAGAATTTTCAATTCATGTTGCTGGGTTTCTATTCTGCAATAAAATGTGATTTTAAGTGAAAATGTTCTTAAAAATCTATTAAGAGGATTAATGGCAAAACAACACTATTCAGTCTTCTTTTGTGGTTACAGAAAATCAGAGGTCTTCAAGAATGTAGAAATTTAGAAAAACTGTATTTATATTTTAATAAAATTTCCAAAATAGAAAATTTAGAGAAACTCTTCAAATTGGAGGTTCTTTGGCTGAACCACAATACAATTAAAAATATTGAGGTAAGATAATTTCAACAATTTATATGTAAAGTTAGTTAGTCTTTTGAAATTTAAACCATATTGTCCAATATCATATGATGGTTAAGGGCCAAATATTCATCACTAGTTTAATTATTGTTAAGAAGACCTAACATGTATATAGCATTTTATAATGTATAGAGAAAACTTCATACACATCATTTTCTTTCCTCCAAGACTAGGAGGTATGATGTTACTTCTTCTTTGAAGGTTAAAAAAAAAGAGGTTTAAAAAGTTGTATATATAACTTGAACTCCTCCTCTTTTCCTCTCCACTTCCCTCCCTTTGTCTCCTCGTCCAGTAGTTCTGTCCAAGCTCTAGAGACACAAAGGTGGCTTCATCGAGGCACCCACTTACTTCTATGCTTGTGAAGTACATGGCGCCTGTGCTCAGAACACCAGGAGAACTAACCAGACTGATCAGAAAATTTATATGTTTACATTTTAATGATTTCTCCTAAATTATATATTGTCTACATTTTTAGGGTTTACAGACTTTGAAGAATTTAAATGATCTCAACCTTGCTGGAAATTTAATAAGCAGCATTGGTATGTACTGTTTTATTTGGAATATGAGATAAGGCTATAACAATTTTTGATCAGTATAAAAGTATACTCTTAGATTTTTTTCTTTCAGACTTTTTTGTGTGATACCTTTGCAAAGCACTTCTAAATCTGTGATTATAGGAAGTGAAAATATTACTCATTAATCAGTGGTTACTAATTATACAGTGTTACTGTTAGCCTTATTTATATATGCAAGAAATGATGGCCTTTTGCAACTCAAAATGTGACAGAATATGAACAGGAGGTAAACATGAAATTTAATTTTTCTTTCATCTTGTTTCTTAAATTACAGGTCAATGTCTTGATCCCAATGAGCAACTGGAAAAATTAAACCTTTCTGGTAACCAAATATGTTCCTTCAAGGTATGATTAACTAGAATAATTCATGTTTATTTGTCACTCTGAATCATGAACCATCTTAGTACAGAAAATGGAGTAGTCACTTTTAAGGAGTAATTCAGTTACTTTTGGCTATCTTATTATACTTCCATAAACTTTAGAATAAGGTGACTAAATTGGTCCTAATGATCTGACACTATTAAAACCAAAAAATAACTATTTACTTGGCTTTAGGATATCACTTTGTTTTAGTTTTCCACTGATTTTTCTAGTTATACCTGTTCAATGTCTGGTTTTTCATCCTTTCCTGCTACCTAAAAAAATGGACTGCCCAAGGTTAGTTCTGGGATCTGGTCTTATTTCTGCTTGCATTCATTCTCTAAACTTAATCTCCTTATGCCTTATTACTGTAAAACCTTTTATCCACTTATTACTCCTAAATCGTATCTCTAGTTTCCCTAACAATACCCTAGAATTATAAACATCTGTCTTAACTCAGACTGATTTTTCCTCTGCTGAACTTTGTCCTGCAGCCTTCTCCAACTCTCTAAATGACATCTCCATTCTCCTAATAACTTAAGTCAAAATCCTTAGAGTCATTTTGATTCCTCTTATCTCTCCCTACTTATATCCAATCCGTCAGCAAATTCTATTGGTTCTACCCTCAAAATATACTGTCTGTCCATTTTTTACCACCTATATCACTAGTATAACCTGGTTCAAAGCTTCTTAATACTTTTCACTACTATCAGTCTGTTCTCCAAACAGCAAATCACTCCTTTTAAAAAAATGTCAGATCAAATCTCTCTTCTGCTCAGAACCATCTCCTGGCTTCTCTGCTCTTTCATAGTACAAGCCAATTCTCACGAGATGCTATAATATAGTCTCCCTACTGCCTCTCTGACCACAGCTTCTACCACTCTTCCCCTTTGTTTAGTGCATTCCAGCCACTGTGGTGTCCTCACTGGTCCTTGAATATACCAAGCACACTCACCTTAGGGCCTTTGCACTTAACTGGGATATTCCTCCCTCATATATCTTCATGGCTCATCTCTTCATTACTTTCAGGACTTTGTTCAAATGTTGTGTTCTTGGTGATGCCTTTCCTGCCTAATTTAGCTAAAATAACAACCTCTACCCCACCCCCAACCTGAAGCACTCCCATCACTCCTTCCCTGCTTTTCCTCTCGGCACTTACCCACACCCCTTACTAGAAGACAGACTCCACAAGGGCAGGAACTTTGCCTGTTTTGTTCCCTGCTATACCCACAGTGCTGAAAACTATACTTGCCATGAAATAAGTCTCAGTAACCATTTGTGAGACACTTGAGTGAAAGAGATTTAAGAACTAAAAGATAATGTGTATGACATATAATAAAGGTGAAAACACATGGCATTCATAATTTTGACAGTGTCAGATTGAAGGTACATATTCAAACACTTCCTCTAGGCAATACTGAAGAAAAATGAGTAAATTTATCATACAAATAATTTTGAAATTATCAGTATTAAAATGGGCATTCTTGACTCAGAGAAGAATGTAAGACATCAAAAAGTTATAGAATGAGGCAGAATGTTATAAACACCTTGAAAAGAAATATAAACAAAATTTTATTTTATTGGTCAATTTCAAGAGGAAATATTTTATGTGAACACTGAAAGGTTGGCAAAATTTCCATAAGGATTGTAGGAAAACCTGCGATGCAGTGGGAGATGGACATTCTGTTGTGGGGAGAGCAGTATGCACAAAGGCCTGGAGATAAGAAATTCAAGTAACATCAGCAGAAGAGACCAGAGGTGGCTCTGAAAGATAAATTCAGAATGCTGTGGAAGGTGATGGTTAACACAAGAGGAGACCTGAGAAGGAGTATCCTAGGAAAAGAGCATTGCAGACAAAGTTGTGAAGGACCTAACTGGTGGAAAGAGCATGGCAAATTCAAGAAACCAGAAATCTTCTGTGGTTGAAACAGAGTGAGTTGAGGCTGAAAAAGATAAGTGTAAAATCCTAGGAGGATAAGGTATTACGTTGCCAAGACACCATGTAGAAGTTTGTCTTACCCTGACTAGCCATGGCAGCCTTACAGTGCTGAAGCACATAGGCAGCATAGAAAGATCTGTCACTTCCAGCCCTGCCAAAAGAGGCAGCATAATATGGTGGTAACATGAAGTTTTAGTGAAATAATAATATAAAAATCTTAGAATAATGACTAGCACACAGTGAGCATTCAGTAAGTATGCTATTCTATTACTATCACCATCCCTTTAATTGCATTAACATATCTATTCCAATCTCCTCATCAAAAATATGGGGATAAAAATTGAGTTATTGTGAAAATTCATTGTATGACACAGACTTTAAAAGGTTCTCTATTATAATGATGGCTATCATAAAAACACTGAACATGATTCATAGCACCTTTTACTATTCTCATATTAAGTAGTGTTCCTTAAACACTAGTATCCTGAATTTTTGTATCTTAACTTTCTACTCACCCTAAAGAGATACTATCCTGGTGGTGATGGAATGACTTCTGTGCCACTTCATCCACAGTAGGTACAACACTAATTTTCAGTGAGATTTTGTGCTTTCATAGGCTCCACTAACATTTGACTTTTGAATGTAGGTGGGGATTCTTGTTCATACTCAAAATGGCCCAGATTGGTGGTCAAGTGCAGCAAACACCCAGAAGTCAGGATGTCTTACTCCAATCAAGGAGGGTCTTTACTCCTCAGAACAGACTGATGGTTGACCTTCCTTGCCCCTGCAGAATTTGATCAACTCTGTCCAGCAATGTCCCTTTAAGAGCAACTCTGCTTAGTCCCACTCCTGCTGTGGGCCGTTCTGGCCTTAGGTCCAGCCATTGGGCCAAGTTCCCACTTGTCTCAGAGAGTTTGGACACACACTGGCCACCTGACCATGTTTTACTCTGAACTATAGTAGCATGACTTCACCATTTGCTTCCGCATTCCATTTGTACTTGATGTTCAGAATTAATGCTTCCTGGTTCTTGCTTTGGATTTCCCTTAATTCTGACTGACTCTCCTACTTGGCATTGCATCTTTTTAAGTCCAACCTCACCATAGTGCCCTCCTATCCCAGGCATGTTCAAATCCTCCTTTAGAAATGGATAGTTGTAATTAATTAATTGAACAATATCATTGCTCTTGTTCTAGGACCTCACTAACTTAACCAGGCTGCGTCACTTAAAGGATTTATGCCTGAATGATCCACAGTATAAAAACAATCCAGTTTGTCTGCTGTGTAATTATTCCACACATGTGTTGTATCACTTGCCTTGCCTTCAAAGACTTGACACGTTTGATGTGTCATCAAAGCAAATCAAGAAACTGGCAGATGTAAGTGCATCCCTAATCAGTTGTCCGTGACTTGATTAACTGCTTCTCCCTGGCTGTGTCTACATATGGTAGGTAGTATTATCTTGTCTGTTCTTATCACCAAGTCTATTTTGCCCCAGTGAGCTGGATATGTCACATAAACATACACAAATAATAACAGTCCTAGAAACTCAATTTTGATGGCAGTACTAGAAGGTGGAATAATACAATGATTTACAATTTGTGCAAAGCTAAAAGAAGGAAATCTGAAAAATTATCACCAGTGATAAGAATAACAGAACTAGTCATGTATGTACAAAAATTAATAAAGCCAAAATAGAGTAGAAAGGAAACAAGTATTCTTCTCTCATTTTGAATATTGCATATCAAAAGTAGAAGACACCCATGGTTGATGGTAGAATGCCAATATTAAGTAGATTTTAATCTAATTAAAGGTGATTTGGGGTTCCCTGTTAATATAAGTGGATCTACCCTCACTGCCAAAACCTTGACTATCTCTGAAATCTTGAAGAGAGCTATTCATAAGCTGTCACTGATGGCAAGCCTCCCACCAAAGTTGCTACTCTGACATACCACCAAAAGAATCTCTAATTTCAGAGTAGAGTGCATAGGGATTCACCATGTTTATTAATAGGCTTTCTACATTATGTTTTTACCCCTCGTTCCAGTCCCCACTTGTTCATTCAGTTAACAGTCCAATAAATAGGTTTTACCTATCTGGAACATGCCAAACGTGAGGATGCCATCATGTGAGGCCCTCCCATTCCTCCTAGTGGCTCCTCTATCATCTCAACATAGATGAAAAATGTCTTTATCTGTTTATCTTCACTTGTTGCACTTTTGCTAGCCTGAGGATTTATTCCCAAGTTCTACTTTCTCCTCTCTTTTTTCCAAACCTGAGATTATGCTCTCTCCCACCCCAATCCAAGAAGTGAACTGTCTTGCAATATTGAGCAAACAGTTCTTGTCTACTAGATTTTCAGTCATGGAGGACCAGAAGACACATGGAGGACCAGGAGGGAGTGTCTTCTCTAACAATGTTAAGTCAAAAATGTCACTTCTCAGTGACAACCATATTTTTGAAATTTCCATTTACCATCTGTGTGGTTTTACATCAGGCCGTTTCTGCAAAGGTGAGCAGGGTGAATATGCTTCATGAAATTACTTGGCTGGTTACTTTATATAATAAATAATTAACGCCTATTACATTCCAGGCCCAGTTCAAGGCACTAGAGATATAGAGTGCTCAAAACAGACAAAATCCCTGCATTTGTGGAGCTGACATTCTAGTGAGAAAAAGCAGATAATAAACAACTAAATGAGCAAACCACTTAGTCAGATGGTGATAAATGCCATGGAGAAAAATAAAACAAGGATGAAGGAAACAGGGTTTTGGGTAGGGGAAGAGGTAGGAGTGTTAACTATTTTATATGGGCTTGTTGGGAGATTTGCTAATGCGACACCGGAATAGAGACCTGAATGGGCCAAAGGAGCAAGCTTTTCAGGGATCAGCAAGTGCAAAGACCTTGAGGCAGAAGCATTCCTCTTCTACTTGAAGAGCGTTAGGAGATCAGTGTGGCTGGAGCCGAGTAAGTGAAGGAAAGAAGAAGTAAGAGATGAAGACAGGAGTGGGGGTGGGGAGATATGATATGGGACCCTGGACTGTTGTAAGTACTTGGGCTTTTAATTTGAGTGAGATGGGGGCCACTGGAAAATTTTGAGCAGAAGAGAGAGAAAAATGACATATTTTAAAGACCACAGAGAGACTAGTTAGATTTCAGTAACACAGATGAGATGCTGGTGGTGGTTTCATATAGGTCATTAGTGGAGGAGGTGGTGCAAAGTACTCAGATTCTGACAGTTAGAACTCTCCTGGATTTGCTGCTAGATTGGATAGAAGGTGCAGAGGAAAGAAATCGAGGATAATTCCAAATTACTGGCCTAAGCCACTGAAGGAGAAAGGGTGTTGTTACATGATAAGATGAGGAAGAGTATGGGAGGAGTGAGTGTGTTTAAAGGGAAGAATCACAGTTTAAATTCAGGCCTGTGAAGTTTGATCTTTTGAACATCCAGGGGGAGATGTCTTTTCAATAACTGATTGGATATAGGAGTCGGCTATTTAAAAGAGTTGCCTGGGTTGGAAATAGAAATATGGGAATTGAAGGCAGAAAGATGGTACTTAAAACCCAGAACCAGATGAAGCACCAAGGGAATGGTGTGAACAGGAAAGTGTGTCTCTGGGGTGCTAGAGACAAGGAGAGAGGAGGAACCTGTAGTGGAGACAGAAAATTTGAGAGAGGCAGGTGCTTTTGAAATTCTGACTGAGATTATCATACATTTGTCTCAATCTTGTATATGTCAGGGGTAGCATTTAAAGAACAAAAAAAAAAGAAACTGCCACACAGTTCCTGACATCTTGCCTTAAATTATGTCATTTTATTTTAGTTTTCCCACTGTAAAATATTTACTTTCTTTACTTATAAGGCATAAGTAGGATATATAATACAGTTTGATTTAGCTCAGATGATTTTTCAATTCAAAGTATTTTTAATTTAAATATTGCATAGAGATTTCCAAGAAGCTTTCTTCAATACCATTCGTAAGAAGACAGGTGGTGCCAGGTTGTGATGATTCTCTAATGTGATAACCTCAGAAGCAGAGGCCTGTTGATTCTTTAAATTTTCACCTGTGACTCTGGAGTTGTTTGTGTAAACAGTTAGTGGCAGGTAAAGTTAGGACCTACCAGGAGGACAACCAAGGAGTCAGCATATGACAGAGGGAAGAACATGGGAGATCCAGTCTGAAGCTTGGATTTAAGCCCTGGTTGCATCCATTACTAACTTAAGCAAAGCCTTTCCCCGCTCAAAGCTTCAGTTTTCTGAACTATTAAAATAGTGATTATAAAAATAGTACCTGCTATTCACACGGTTATTGTGGGGATCTGTGGATAAAGTGAAGGTTCCTATGGCCAGGATTCTCACCTGACCCGGGTTGGCTAGCTCACTACACAGGTGTGGGCAATATGTCATTATTGACTGTATACAGAGCTCTGCCCAGTGCTCTGGGCAGCACCATGGCACTGCTGCAAGGCTGCAGGAGAGCAGAGACTCAACTGGAGTGGTGGCAGCACCAAGGACAGAGACTGAGACGGCTGTGGGGGCAGAGTCCGGCTTGCTGCATGCAGACTCACTCTGAGTGGATGGGATTCTAGTGATTGACCTGCCGCCATGGAAATAAAGTTGGATATAATCCTTTCACCCCAAGATTTTCTATTGTCATTTCTTTGGTCACATCGAATCCATAGTGACCTTGCCTGGGGCTGAAACCCATTGGCAAGACAGGATCCAATGAGGTTTAATGGGCATAAAATTCCATTTTCATTTTAAGCACTGTAAAACTAAACACTATGAAGCTGTAGTTGAGCATATTTCTGCTCATGACTTGTAGTTCTTTTCTGGCTATCAAAGAAGCAAATGTATCAAATTTTGACATGCAACTGAATTTAGCATTATAATTAAGTCTAGTTTTAAAAATATCTTTATTGTAATAGACAAATAATTCCACTGAAGTTATTGTAAATGACTTTGACATTAATTCTTTAAAGACCAAACACAAAAAGCAAATTGAATATCGTCTGTCTACAAAGTCAATTTGATATGTATAAAATTTACAAGACAATCCTCTGTGTCTTCAAAATCTTAGTATATACTCTCAAACCACAAAGACAAAAAAACCCTTGATTGATAACTGGGTAAAATTGCAATATTTCCATAATCCCTTGCTTGGCCTTAGTGCATCTCCATATCAATGAGTGTTTCCAAGGGGTGGAGAGAAGTAGTCAATCTCCATATCCATAGGTGATTATAAGGGGTAGAGAGGTCATATCTGGACCAGAGAGGTTGGGTGGGGCCCCCTATTGCAGCCAGGTCATGAGAGACACAGGCGAGCAGAAGTGGAAGACTTCTTATAAGAATAAATGGGTTTCTCCCATTTTATTTCTTCCTTTGGCTGATTTTGGCTTCAAAGGTTATTTGCATCAGGCTGGGAGCCTACTTTCCCCTGAGTTACACTGTTATTTATTGTTAATAGTACACTAAGCAGTTTTGCAAGAGTTAAGGAATAGTAAAGCATCACAATTGATGTCCCCAAGTGCAGATAAAGCTATATTCTTAATAAAATTTTTAAAAAAGTAGAAAAAACTGTGTAGTGTTATGCTAGAAACAAATCAGTAGTTATCTGAGGAAGGTGGGGCAACTGGGCAGATGGGAAACAGGTGTGGGAAGACTTCATTGTATGTCAACTTTTTTTGGTTTTTGAAACATGAATATATTATTCAAAAATAAAACTTAAAAGCAGAGTTTTTTTTTGTCCTCCACCTAGGAGACCCCACGTTAAATTTGAATGTCAGAAAAACAACAAGTAATGTTTAAATATCACAGTTATTAAACTTAACCATGCTTGCTTGCTTATACTAAAACATTATTGTTTATCTGAAAGTCAAATTTAACTTGGCATCTTATATTTTATCTAGCAACCTACATCCAAGAATATTCTCTTGTTGTTTTATTAGACTTAAGAATTCCTCGGAAAATTTTTTAGCTGCCACTAACTCAAAGCAATTTTTATTGGATTTTCCATTTTTTCCACATAGACAAAAAATCAAGAAACATCATTTGCCATTTCTTTAGTTACAGCTTTTTCTTCTGACTCAACTGCACCTCAGAAATGAGCTCTTCTTTATTAAAAATTTTTACTTATTACTAGTCATCTGAAAACAGATTTTTTCTTAACTCTTCTGTTATGAATGCCTTATTTCCTGCAGACAAATTTAGTGATTTCCATTTCAGAACATCATAATATGCGTGACAAAGGGAATTCTTTTTGCCATTCATCATGCCATGTATTTGTTTCTATTCCATCTTTTGTGCCAAATAATTCTGTTAGGGTCTTGAGTATCCATTCTTTACTAAATAAGTCAACAGCCTGCATCTATAGAGAATACATGTCCAGAACGATTTAAAAATCTTCCAACTTATTTGAGGTCCAGATTTCCTAAAAAAGAAATGCCTTCATTATTTCAGGCAAACAGTTAAAACTAGGTCACATTTTTAACAGTGCACCTGATTTGTTTCTGATTTATTTATTTTCTCCTCAGCTAGTTCTTTTTGACTACACCCTTTAGCTGATGTATTTCTTGGTCATGTATTTAATCAACTTATAATAAACTTAATAACTGGATGATCCATTGGTATTAAGAAACTCAAGATGATTGGATTAGATTAACAATTTATTTACTTAATCTAAAACAAGTTCATTTAGAGCATCCTTTCATAGATATGAAAGAAAACATAAAATTCTCTCTCTTAGCCATGCTTTTAAAAATAAATAATGCTATTTTGCTTTTAATTCTTTTTTATTTATTTTTCACTAAATCAAATAGAAATAATGTAGTCCTATATTTGCTTTAGTAGTATTGCCTCATTTGCTAAATGATAGTATTTTGTAAATTGAATTCTACGATAATCTCTTTTTATGTTGTCATCCTGGAAATAAATATAAATATGCCTCACACTTAAAAAAATACTATCCACAAAGAAAATCTTTGGAACTTTGTATTTTGCTTATTAAGTTTAAATATAGAACTCTGTGTAGCCATTATCATTCCAGCTATTACCATATTAGTAACTGAGCATGCAAAACTAATATTGTTAAGTAGAGCATTTCGACGCATTTAATACCACTAATTACTTACAATGTTTTTTGTTTCAGCTAGTCTTTTGTTGTCGTTTTTCCTCACTTTTAGACCACAGCAATGAAAAAAATAATGTATTACAATATGCGTATAAAAACTGTTCAGAGGCATCTTAATGAAGACCTTGAAAAATTGAATGATCGAAAATGTAAATTACAGCAGTTGCCAGAAGAGCGAATAAAATTATTCAGCTTTGTGAAAAAAAATGTAAGGTTTAATATTGTAAAATTTCAATGGCCATAGCTTAAGAAAATTGGCAGATAAGATAGCATCTTTTAAATGTGTATATATGTATACATGTATACATCCATGCAAATATTTTTATTTCAGGGCATAAAGTTTGCCCCAAAACTGTTTTGATTCCAAGTACTTGACTATGCTTCATTCTGTACTTAGAAATCTGTAATTGAAAAAAGCTATAGGCTTATTAATTTGTGAATTTTTTAAAAAGCTATGTGATTGAATATGATTTTGAGAGATGTTAAACGTATTTCAGCTGCATTTTTATTGGACACCAGCAGGCGGTGCTCAAAACTCATTTTCTTGTCTAAAGTGCTAACATAGCCCTTTTCTGATAGCATTAAGGAATATAGCAAGATAGGAACTTTAAATCAGGCTATATTTTCATAGTCAGATTATGTGTGTTTCTTTATTTAAAATAAATTGGATTTCCTTTACCAAAAGTATATACTAAAAAACTAAGGATTATCAATTTCAAAACAGAATTTTATGTATATTTATTGCATTTTTTAAAAAAGCATAACAATATAACTATTCAACAAATGGTGTTAGCAAAATAAACTGGGAGTAGGAGAATTGGATCCTTAGCTTACACTTTTCCAAAAGTAAATACCAGTGGGAAGAACTAAAAGTAAAAATAAAAACATGAAAACCCTGAAGAAAAATAGATGAATATGTTTAGCTGATCTCAGCCTGCCAATAAAAGAATACTAGAAATCACAAAGGAAAAGAATGTGGATTTGATTGCAAACAAAAAGAAAAAAATAAAATGCTTTTGTACTAAAAAGCATTAATAAAAGTAGATACCATCTGAAAAAATTATTTTCAACAAATATGATGGACAAACATGATATCCTTAGTGAAAATGTCTAATAAATAAAATGTCCAGATACAAAATTTATATTTTATTAGACAATAAATAAGAATGACTAATAAGCATTTGAAAGAAAAGCTCGACCTTATTATTAATTTCTGGTGAATTAAGATAAGAGGCAACCATTTTCACCTATAAAATTGTCAAAGCATAGCACATATAGTACTCTGGTGATGAAGACAGGTGTTGTGATGATATTACACCACTGATGGGAGTGTAAATGATCATACATAGTAACAGCCTAAAAATGTTCATAGCCTTTGACCCAGTAAATGCACTTTTAATACTCTAAAGATTTGGATAAATATTTATATGTAAGGAGATTCATCACTGCATTATAAATAACAACAAAAACTTGGGAACTACCTAAATGTTTAATGAGAGAACTATTCATCCTTAAGATAGAGTAGTATGTAGCCATTAAAAACTAAGTCTTTAAATGTATTTCATAATTTTTTGAAAATGAGCAAGTTTTAATTAATTTATAACCAGAAAGATATCCTTAAAGTGAAAATTAACAAAATTTAATTATTCCTTTGAGTAAAAATTTAGCCAGTATTTGGAAACCAGTTTTATAGCTACCATTTTCATGTGCAAATTCATGTACTAAGTAAAACCTGCAAATGTGAAAATAATAGCTATAGATTAGAATAACTTATAAATTGCTTAATTTGTTCTTTAATAGCTTGATAAAGCCATTATAGAAAGTATAGATAATTAGTAAATTTCTCTCTATATATACACATCTTTATGTACAGTACAATCTAATTTGAAATCCTCTAAGTCTGGGATTAGGGCAAGGCAGGTGAGACACTTGCTCTCGGCCCAATATTTAAGGGAGTGCCCAAAACCTCAGTAATTAGATCAATCATATCTAGTGAATACTTTTTAAAGTATAAATGAATGCCAAAAAAGTCCATTATGTACACAAAATACAAAATATCAAAAATTTAAATAAAGACATTGCTCTGCTGAGTCGTATAGGAGACTGAGGCAAAAGGAAAAATGTACATCTCCATATATGTGTTTTATATACTTTCTGTAGTTAATTTTTTCCTAGAACACCAAAGTAGTTGAAAAATATTTAAAAATTGAAAAGTAGTTGTGATAGAGGTCATGTTAATTTGAAATTTAAATATTTTATTTATACCAAAACCAGCATTTCTTATAATTTCACTTTGGCTTTAACAGAAGCAAATTCATCAGTATTATGTAAAAATCTGTTTCTTTGCTTTTCTTATTTTCAATAGAGTTAACTGCTCTGTTTGAAGTATTTTTGGTCAAGAGAAATTAAGATTGGTCACTTGGTCAAGAGAAATTGGCTGACCAAACTTGTACCAAAGTTGTAATCATGTGTTTGGCATGTTTCTATGAACTTTGGCCTATTTGTTCTCCAGATTTCTATGTTGTTAATTTAAATGAACTATATTTTTAATAATTCCACTAACAATTTTTGCTCTCTGGTATGTTGACTTAAACAGTTGGAACGAGAATTTGCTGAACTCAAGGGATCTGGCAAAGGACACAGTGATAGATCCAATAACAATAAAGTAACTGAGCTTGAAAAATCAAAGAACTGTGAAACTGTCACAGAACAACTAAGTCTTCAACAGAAGATATTGACCAAACTAAATGCTGTGAATGAAAGGGTAAAATTCTGGAACAAAAAACTAGATGAGTATGTTTTATGAATTGTCTAGTTGTTCAAATTCTAAACATGAGAGAATAGAATGTTCTGGGCCATTAGCTGAGCTCAGTTCACTTCTTCAGGAGTGGAAAAAATTCTCTTATGAAGTAGAACATAAAATGTGTTTCTAGTTCAGTTCCTATTAGAAGTAGACATTGATTCAAAGCTGACATATAGTTTTTCACAGAAGCAATATTTAATTAGAAACAGAAAACTTCCCCTGAGTGGCTTCCTGTCACATCACTGCTCTAGTGTCTGCAAACTAAAAGCATTAGAACTGCTATTGATGCAGAACCCCACCATATAAATGAGACTGAGCAAAGCACATACACAGTTGTCCAGAATCTTGAAGAAACAAAGTCAGGTTGACTATTAACTAGAAGTAAAAAGCAATAAGAAAATAAATACTGTGAATTCTTTATTTACCAGGGCACTAAATTGATGTTAGTTTGCCCTGTAAAAATACTACTACTAATAATAATTAACATTTATTGGATTCTTACTCTGTGCCAATCTCTTCACTAAGAGCTTTAAAGATGTTTTGCTTATAAGCCTTAAAAAGACCTTTTCAGGTGTAGGTAATATTAATATACTGCCATTTTACTGAGAATCTGTTGCATAAAAATGTTATGACTTGTCTAAGATCTGAAAGCCATAAATGGAGGAGCCACGATAGACTTCTAACCTTCACATATTCTGAGGATAACATAACTTGAGGTGATTTTAAGTGCCAAAAATAGAATGTCTTTTACTTGGTTTAACTGTTAACACCAAGCTTGCTTTATCCATTGACCTAAGTCTTGTATTTTAATATCAGCTTTAAAGAAAAAATCTATCATGAATTTTAATGTTTGATTTTTAGATCATTCTGATAACTTTACCTATAATTTTTCTTAAGTAGAATTGAAGCAATTTACCATATTGAAGTAAAGCAAAAGAAGAAAAGTCATGGCTTATTGATTCCATTTTTGTTAATTGAGTTGGAGACTGTGGGAAATGTCCACTTTGAAGAAGGCACTCGATCTGATGACTGGTAAATTTGCCTGAAATTTAATTATAGCTTTACAAATAGTTGTAAGTGCTTAGGATCATCAACCAAAATATCAACTTACAAAATCTTCAAATGTCTCATTTTCAGAACACTTCTATAGAACATTCATTAACTGAAAATTGGCAGTTACCTACTTTACCAATTATACATTTTTCTGTTTACACCATTGCCGTGGGGCTAAATTTGAAAACATCCTAGTGGTATTTCATTGCTCTTCACCCGATTTCCCTTAGACTGTTTCTGGTGGAGACAGCCACCAGAAACAGAAGCTTGAAGTAGATGTCCCCACTTCAGAACCAAGGCCTACCGGTAGAAACAAGGAAGTGGTTGTGTGCCTCAACTGGAAGTTACAATCAAAGAAATGATCCTTAAAAAAACAAAAAAGAAAGCTTTGCAGAAAAATATCACTAATTATAACTTTAACATTTCTGCAATAATTTTCTCAAAGTTAACAAGCCCATGAACAAGCCAAAGATTGCCCTAGAACCCTAGAAACATACTGCAAACTTGGCCATGTGGAGAAAAACCAGAAAACATGTAGAGCTATAGAATGAACAAAGAATTGACACTCCAGAGGATTTAACTCAATCAGTATTGAAACAAACACTGATTTTTTACGGAGTATGATGCAAAATTTGTATTAACTGTTTGGAAAGAAAAATATATGACTGTTAATGGTTACTTTAAACCAAGCCTCCTGATTTTCTTAGATGTGCCTCTTATTTACACCTGGGAGTAAAAGCTTCTCAAGGGCTTTGGGGGTACTTTGGTAGAAAAGTGTTAGAAGCTCTGCCCAAGGGAGAAAGAGACCTTTTAAAATATTTTCTTGTGTATCAACACATCCATTTGCCCAGCAGTAACCACTGTTTGCTTAACCACAATACTTGATTTGTATGTACAAAGATATAAAAAGTGTTCATTCCAATTCCCATGTAAACAAGTAAAGGTCTTGATTTTTCAAGTGTAAAAAATTGAATGGTGTCTTTCTGTAGGGTGTATGAATGATTTTTCAGTCCTTCATTTATATTCACTTAACCCAAACAATCGTTTTTTTATTATTTCTGTTTCTTTTTAACTTACTGCAAAGTAAGCTCTTTACAAAACAAATTTTGTAGATTATTGAAAAAAAGGCAAAATGACTAAAAAGCCATTTAGGTAACTATGTCAGCCTCATTGTAAATTAGATAACATTGATAGATTTGATAAGCATTAACAATTGTTTACTTGGTTTTAAAAAGAATAACCTTGATCCGTTTTAAGGAGAAAATCAAATATATGTTGGCCGGATTTCAAGGACTGCTCTTCACTTTTATCATACTACAAGCTTGGGCACTTTAGCTATGATCTTTTATGGGTATTATGAAATAATACTAACATGCTTTAAATTGCTCTATGTGCTACATATCTAGTTGTTTCATTTAGATTGCCCTAGAACCCTAGAAGCATACTACAAACTTGGCCATTTAAACACTTTTATCCATATTTTTAAGCCAATGGTTTAGCAGTTTAATAAAAAGTACTGGAATAAAGCTAGAACTCAAATATAAAGATTTTCTATCAAAATAGTTTTTATTTCTTTAGCAAAAAAGCACTGCAGATTTATAATTGTGTATTATTTAATATTTCATAGCTTCATTTTTGTGTGAAATAAAAGGATTATATTTTTCAGCTTAAGAAAGGCCTTATTTTACAGAGACTTGCTTGTTGAATAGTTACTACTACAGCATAATCATTATAGATTCATATCATTTACCCTACATATTGTGAATTGAGTTGTCCACTGACATCAAACAACATTGATCAAATGGAGACTCCAAAGCATAAAGGATGCTGTCCTTGGGCCTAAGAATCTCTGACCTGGTTATAGATACAGGTCATTTACAATTTAAACAAATAACTTTAAGGCACCACAAAACAATATGTAAGTGACTCTGTAAGCTCCTTGAGGACAGATGTAATGTTTCATGTACTTTAAAAGTCATAACAAGTAGCATAGGGCTGGCTGGATTCACAACTCAGTAACTATTTGATGTTTCCACATCACTTTATAGATACTTAACAGTTTCACTTCTATGTGTGTAATGGCTTTTCAGTAATTAATTTTTTATATGTAAGGATCTCATAATGTACTATTTTAGGGAGTTACAGCAGCATAAACTTTTTTATTTATACCAATAAGACACTGATTTAAGTCAGCAAGTCAGTTGACAGTATTTATTAAACCCTTGTTTAGGATTTTGAGGTACATTTTAATAGATTTTATTAAGCTTCAGCCACTTAAAAACGTGCATTCTGCATTTGCTAAGTGAGTGCATCATTTGCATATTAAGGAACCTTTGTAGGTATCTGTCTGTGTGACTGAGTGTCTTGGTTGGTGGTGTGTATCACCACTGTGGATGCTCACACTTCTGGTCCCACCGAATGAGTGAGGCTGTCCAGTGAAGTCATGCGCCCTCACGCTCCTGACCGCTCAGTACTTGATGAGGTTAACCATTCTTCCCTTGCAACTTCACCTCTCTTGTTTTTTGTACATAACCATTTTCTATTTTCTTTTTAAACTCTCTCTTGCCACTGCCTTCTATTCTTGCCCTTGTATAGTCTGTCTCCTTTACTCCATTCCTGTTAAGACATTTCTCTCTGGATGTCCAGCTGGCAAGGCCAACTGAACATACTGAAATGGTTTTGTTTTTCTCTTCCTACCTGCACACCACCCGCTCCTTCTGACTCTTCTGTCCCTGTTTGCAGCACTGCCACCCTCTCAGTCATGCCGATCCAGCAAACATTGAAGCCATTCTTGACTCCCTCCCCTCCCTCAGTCTGCACATCCAGTTAGGCCAAGACCCACAGACCGGTTCTCCTCCGTACTGTCTCTGCATTCATTCCTCCCCATTGTGGCCAGTCGCCTTCACACGGGCTCTCACGACCTTCCTCTTGGATCATTGCTGCAGCATCCAGCTCAATGTGTGTGTGCAGTAGGCGCTCAGGATTTGCTGACCAATCATAAAGATTCCTAAGTGGTTTTTTGTATGGTCCCTGCTGGCAAGCTTTCTACACAGACAGAACTCTGTTAAAAACAAAACAGAAGCTTCTTGTAGCAACGTGTTAACTTCCAAATTACTTTCAGACTCTTCACCCTGACACTCAGTGTTCATTCTATGGTCTCCAAATGACCCTAACTCCTTTTCAGCCCCTTAAACGTCAACCAAACTGTGTGTCCCTCACTGTTCTTGGAACATACTCGGTATGGCACCACATAAGTGGTTTGGTTTGTCCTGCCTTCTTCCCCCAGAATGCCTTGCATCCCTTGCCCTCATTTTATCATTGACTGTCAAAACTTACTTTATTTTCAAGGCCAATATCAAGGGCCATCTTTTAAAAGGAATATACTTTTCATCTCTATCAGATATGGTCATTATTAATTTTTGAATCACCACAACACTGAGCTGCATCTTTCCTATTTTCTTCTCCATTAGTTTTGCTTGTGCATGTCCCATTACCTTCCTGCTCCAGTTGTTTATAAATATAGAAGACTGCATCATATTCATCTTTTTTTGCTATTTTTTAAATTAAAGTATTGTGATATACAATCTTATATTGGTTCAGATATACAATGCAGTGGGTCAACATTCACCCATATTATCAAATCCTCACCACCTCCAGTGCAGTCACTGCCCATCAACATAATAAGACGTTATAGAGTCATTAACTCTATTCTCTGTGCTGTACTACTGTCCCCTTGACCAACCTATGTAGTGATTGCAAATAATTGTGCCTCTATTCCCTTCCCCTTCTGCCCCATCTGGCCCATCTCTTCCCCTTAGTGACCACTAGTCCCTTCTCATTGCCTATGAGTCTACTGCCATTTAGTTCCTTCTGTTTTGCTTTGTCTTTATATTCCATGAATAAGTGAAAGCATATGGTATTTATCTTTCTCTGCCTGGCTTATTTCACTGATCGTAATACCCTCTGGATCCATCCATGTTATTGCAAATGGCAGGATTTCTTTTCGTCTTATGGCTGAATAATTTTCCATTGTGTATATGTACCACATCTTCATCCATTCATCTACTGATGGACACTTACCTTGCTTCCTTATCTTTTTTCTTTTTTTTGGTATCATTAATATACAATCACATGAGCAGCATTGTGGTTACTAGACTCCCCTCATTATCAAGTCCCTCCATACACCCCTTTGCAGTCACTGTCCGTCAGCGTGTGCCTCATGTTCATCTCTGAATCTTTTCTACTGTGTTCACTTGCTCTGCATCCACCCACTGAGCTGCTACTATGGGCCAAGTTCTAAGTGGCAGAAGTAAAAGTCAGTTGGTCCCTGCTGTCACCGAGCCTGCAGTATGGTGTGGGAGACAATGGTAATGAAACACTGGGAAGTTCTGGGATCATTGTAGGTGTGGAGAAGAGGAGCAGTCCAAGAAGAATGGGGATTTAAAGAAAGTTTTCTGGAAGTGGGGTCACTGGAGGGAGATGCTTTGATCTGAATTTAGATAGAAGTTAACTATATAAAGAATTAAGGAAAGGACTCCAGGCAGAGGAAACAGGTGAACAGGTGTGGAAATAGTATAATACATTTGGAGAACTACCAGTCATTCCACATGACAAGGGCCTGCCTGATCTTGTAAGGGCATTCTAGGCTCAGCTAGCAGTCTGAATTTTGTCCTTAAATCTATGGGACTACTTGAAGGCGAGGTGTAGTAGCTTTAGATATTACTTATATAAATCCATACGGAGTCATTATTTCCACTTCAGACTAATATGCATGTATCTCAAGCCAGCAATGACATGCTCTCCAGTGCTTGTTCAGCAATGCTGTGACAAGTGTTCATCCTCTATGAGGTGTGATAATATTGAACATCTCAGTACTTCTCTGTCAGCATAGGTCTGGTTCTCCCTTCTCCAGCAGTATTCCACCACTCTGTGCATGATCTCTTCTCATCCCCAGAATGGCCAGATGATTGAATGAATTGCTTTACTTCTGTAATCCCAGGTAGCACAGAGGCCATGTCCTCTCAGCACTGGGGTTCCCTATCTCCAGGGCTTTTAGAGGTCCCTGTAAGGAAGGGCTCAGTTGCTGAATTTCTGGGCACAGAATAGCTATATGCAGTGAGCACATTTCATGGAATTTCTTGTGCCATTCCTGGTTCTTGCATTCCTGGGGGACCCAGACTAGAAGCTAAGTGTTATCCATTCACCACTCATATCTATTCCTGATTACCCTTTTGGTATTACTGTGGAACTAGAAGCTTACCTAAATAAAATGCCTGCATTGCTAGTTTCTACCAGGTTGCAATAATAATAATAAAAGTAATAAATAGGGTGCAGGTAATAATGAGAGCTTCAGTGATTCTAGGCATAATATTTAGGGTGACTTGGACTGATTTAGGCCCAGAAAGTGAACCCTGTATATTTGAGAGTGTAGGTTTCTCACTCCACATGATACATGGCTGTTTAGCCAGATCTCTGAACTAGTTAGCAGCATCCTGCAAACTGCAGCACTGTTTATATTGCCTCCACTACCAGACTGTGAGCTCCTTTAGGATTGGTTTGGTTCAGGAAGCTCCCAGCTGCACTAGTTCACTCTTTGCTAGTGAGAAAAGCAAATACTCTAAGGATCTCAGAGGTTAGTCTTAGGGAGACATCCCAATTAGGAAGCTCATGCCTGTGATCTTAGCCTACACCCAGACCGTGGTTAATTATGCTGGTGAGGACCAGACAGCTCATCAAAGGCAAATATATCCCGTATAATATCTCAATTTCCTTTTCAAATTGATCCATTTTTAAATCTCATCTTAATCTGAGTTCTGTGCTACTTTTGAGAGGGCCAGAGTTATTGTGAACATATCAGGCAAGCAGTTGATGTTCAAGTCTAAGCATGGCCAGGTGAGGGCAGCCGAGAGCAAATGAGTGAGTGCATCAGCACATTTTCTTGAGATCTTCACATAGCAGGCCCTTCTCCAATTCTTAGCTCAAATATCTTCTCTGAAAAACCTTACCCAAGGCCTGTCTGAAGTAGCCCCCACTCCATTCCTTACTCCAAGCCTCTTTTTCTTCAAAGCACTAATCAGTTTACAAAATATTTCATTTATGTCATATTTTTTGTCCAACTCCCTTGGAATATAGGCTCCATGAAAACAGGGACCCTTGCCTCTTTCACTTCTATATCCCTAATTATGAAGTTATTGCAATAGTCCACTAAGAGATGATGATTTGCTAGGGTAATAACAGTGACAATGATGAAACAGAGTCATCATATTCAGGATATACTTCAGATACAGGGCCAAACAGATTTGCTAAAGAACTGGATATTGGTGAGGAAGAGAAGAGGCAGGGTTTATTCCTGAGGTTTCAACCTAGGCTACCAGTTAGATGGTGGCACCATATACTGACGGAAAACAATCAAGAGAAGCACATTCAAGGACAGGTGATTAATTAAGCTTGAGAGGCCTATTACATGTGCAAGTGAACATATCAGGCAAGCAGTTGATGTTCAAGTCTAAGTAAGTATATCCAGCTAACTTGGATAGAGAGAAAGCTTGGAAATAAAAATTTGAAATTTATCAGTATATATATACTGTGATGGATATATATCTAGATGGATGGATGGATAGATAGATATAATGACATGCTCTCCAGTGCCTGTTCAGCAATGCTGTGACAAGTGTTCATCCTCTATGAGGTGTGATAATATTGAACATCTCAGTACTTCTCTGTCAGCATAGGTCTGGTTCTCCCTTCTCCAGCAGTATTCCACCACTCTGTGCATGATCTCTTCTCATCCCCAGAATGGCCAGATGATTGAATGAATTGCTTTACTTCTGTAATCCCAGGTAGCACAGAGGCCATGTCCTCTCAGCACTGGGGTTCCCTATCTCCAGGGCTTTTAGAGGTCCCTGTAAGGAAGGGCTCAGTTGCTGAATTTCTGGGCACAGAATAGCTATATGCAGTGAGCACATTTCATGGAATTTCTTGTGCCATTCCTGGTTCTTGCATTCCTGGGGGACCCAGACTAGAAGCTAAGTGTTATCCATTCACCACTCATATCTATTCCTGATTACCCTTTTGGTATTACTGTGGAACTAGAAGCTTACCTAAATAAAATGCCTGCATTGCTAGTTTCTACCAGGTTGCAATAATAATAATAAAAGTAATAAATAGGGTGCAGGTAATAATGAGAGCTTCAGTGATTCTAGGCATAATATTTAGGGTGACTTGGACTGATTTAGGCCCAGAAAGTGAACCCTGTATATTTGAGAGTGTAGGTTTCTCACTCCACATGATACATGGCTGTTTAGCCAGATCTCTGAACTAGTTAGCAGCATCCTGCAAACTGCAGCACTGTTTATATTGCCTCCACTACCAGACTGTGAGCTCCTTTAGGATTGGTTTGGTTCAGGAAGCTCCCAGCTGCACTAGTTCACTCTTTGCTAGTGAGAAAAGCAAATACTCTAAGGATCTCAGAGGTTAGTCTTAGGGAGACATCCCAATTAGGAAGCTCATGCCTGTGATCTTAGCCTACACCCAGACCCTGGTTAATTATGCTGGTGAGGACCAGACAGCTCATCAAAGGCAAATATATCCCGTATAATATCTCAATTTCCTTTTCAAATTGATCCATTTTTAAATCTCATCTTAATCTGAATTCTGTGCTACTTTTGAGAGGGCCAGAGTTATTGTGAACATATCAGGCAAGCAGTTGATGTTCAAGTCTAAGCATGGCCAGGTGAGGGCAGCCGAGAGCAAATGAGTGAGTGCATCAGCACATTTTCTTGAGATCTTCACATAGCAGGCCCTTCTCCAATTCTTAGCTCAAATATCTTCTCTGAAAAACCTTACCCAAGGCCTGTCTGAAGTAGCCCCCACTCCATTCCTTACTCCAAGCCTCTTTTTCTTCAAAGCACTAATCAGTTTACAAAATATTTCATTTATGTCATATTTTTTGTCCAACTCCCTTGGAATATAGGCTCCATGAAAACAGGGACCCTTGCCTCTTTCACTTCTATATCCCTAATTATGAAGTTATTGCAATAGTCCACTAAGAGATGATGATTTGCTAGGGTAATAACAGTGACAATGATGAAACAGAGTCATCATATTCAGGATATACTTCAGATACAGGGCCAAACAGATTTGCTAAAGAACTGGATATTGGTGAGGAAGAGAAGAGGCAGGGTTTATTCCTGAGGTTTCAACCTAGGCTACCAGTTAGATGGTGGCACCATATACTGACGGAAAACAATCAAGAGAAGCACATTCAAGGACAGGTGATTAATTAAGCTTGAGAGGCCTATTACATGTGCAAGTGAACATATCAGGCAAGCAGTTGATGTTCAAGTCTAAGTAAGTATATCCAGCTAACTTGGATAGAGAGAAAGCTTGGAAATAAAAATTTGAAATTTATCAGTATATATATACTGTGATGGATATATATCTAGATGGATGGATGGATAGATAGATAGATAGATAGATAGATAGATAGATAGATAGATAGATAGATGACCAGATGAAATCACCTAGGGATAACTGTTCATAGAAACAGGAGAACCAAACACTTGATTCTTGGCACAATTCAACATTCAGAAGTATGTAAGAGGGAAAAGCAGCAGCAAAGAAAACCATGAAGGAGCAGCCAGTATGAAGAAAACCAGAAATAGGTACTTTCACTGAAGTAAAACAAGGAAGTATTTGAACAATGGAGGATTGCTCAGCCAATATATCTTGTAATCAGAACAAATATATAATAATGAATAAAAACTATTTTTATGTTTCAAAGTTTAGCATCTCTTATTGATTTAATAAGTGTGACCAGTTTGAACAAAAACAGAGCTACTATATGATGATGTGTCTAGCAAAAAACATAAAATTTGACCTATAACTTTATCATATGTAACTTTGTGTTCTTCAACATTTTAAGGAAAATATGTTATTTTCTTTGTATATATTCTGTATTCCATACAGGTTTAATTCTTGCTATGAATTAATTCTATCACGATTTTGCGCATGGGACTTCAGGTCATATGGTATTACAGGAGTGAAAGTGAGACGCGTCATCAAAGTTAACAACCGTATTCTAAGATTAAAATTTGAGGAGAAATACCAAAAGTTTTTGGACAATGAAGATATGCATGATTCAGAGTAAGAAGTTAAATTCCATAAGGAACATTTTTACAAAAGTATGATTTTATTTTTTAAACAAGCCTTTCTGTTTTAAAATTTTACAATATTAAAAATACACTTTTTAAATATTTCCTTTCCATGCATCTCCCTTGCTTGACTAGGATGACTTCACAGTTTATCCACACTGGAGCTCTTTTGAGGTTTAATAATGACACTGGAGCATTCAAGCAAATGGGAAATAACCTGCACAGGACATATATGATCATCTTGTCTATGGCTAAGCTATTTTGAAATCAGTTTTCAAACTTTTTTGTCTCAATGCTTCAGGTGTTGTCGAAAGATGATGGAATGCCTTTTTTATGTTTTCAATCCTGAAGTTACAGTGAAGAAAAAGTATCTGCTACAAATACTTGAAAAAGGATTCAAAGACAGTGAAATAAGCAAGGTAACATAAAACATCATATAGCCTAACGCTTTCTTCCTAAAGAATAAAGCTCTGTCACTGGCTAAGCATAGTTTGATACTTAATTCTTTCATCTGTATTTATAACAAACTTCTGCTGAATCACAAAAAAGCATAGTGCTATTATACAAAGTATAGCAACTTCCTTCTGTGGATTATACTAGAAGAAGCCCACATGAGTTGACAGAAGTTTTTAATGATTAGCTTTTCTGAAATCCTAAAAGCTTTCCACTTTGTTTTCAAAGAAACAACTCTTACTCTTTCTCCTATTTAGTGCTTTATGTAATGTATATAATTTCAATAACAAATACAACTAGTATAAACACATTTAGGATCAAAATTAACTGATTTTAGTAAGTGTACACACAACTGGGTGGAATAGAAGTACATAGTATTTTTTAAAGTACTCTCTTTGAACTTCACTATACTGTGGGTTGTAGAGAGAATGGAAAATAGTGCTTAATCCTGTGAACTGGTTTAGTGGAAGTTGATTTAGCAGCAATCAGTTGAGGATTTTTAATGTAGCATATTTGTTATACGGAAACGCAATCATTTGAGTGAATTTCTCTACAAGTCCTTGAAGACAGGGACTGTGTTTATAGATTCTTAGTAGAAATTTGATGAATGAATGCCAGATAGCTGGACAGATGGACAGATGGCAATCACACCCATTTCTATACCTTTCTATACCTCCCCTTAAAAACACTTTTCTTTGAAATTTCTGGTTATTGGAGTTGTGTCTAATCTTCAAAGCCTAGCCACTATCCCATTACCACTACAAACTTGTTTCTAATCACTTCAGTTAAAAAAGGATATCTTATTTAACACATCTTGTGATGTCTTGAATTTTTTTCATGAAGGTGTCATTGATATGCAATCTTATGAAGGTTTCACAAGAACATTTACCCATATTATTAGGTCCCCCGCCCCCACCCCATTGCAGTCACTGGCTATCAGTATAGTAAGATGCTATAGAGCCATTACTTGTCTTCTCTGTGCTGTAATGCGTTCCCGGTGACCTAACTATATTGTGAATGCTAATTACACTGCCCCTTAATCCCCTTCTCCCTGCCACCCCATCCACCCTGCCCAATCCCTTCCTTTTGGTAACCGCTAGTCCCTTCTTGGAGTCTGTGAATCTGCTGCTGTTTTGTTCCTTCAGTTTTGCTTTGTTGTTAAACTCCACAAATGAGTGAAATCATTTGGTACTTGTTTTTCTCTGCCTGGCTTATTTCACTGAGCATAATACCCTCTAGCTCCATGCATGTTGTTGCAAATGGTAGGATTTGTTTTCTTCTTATGGAAGAATAATATTCCACTGTGTATATGTACCATCTTCTTTATTCCTTTATCTACTGATGGACACTTAGGTTGCTTCCATATCTTGGCTATTGTAAATAGTGCTGCAATAAACATAGGGGTACATATGTCTTTTTGAATGAGGGATTTTGTTTTCTTTGGGTAAATTCCTAGGAATGGAATTCCTGGGTCAAGTGGTATTTCTATTTTTAGTTTTTTGAGGAACCTCCATATTGCTTTCCACAATGGCTGAACTAATTTACATTCCTACCGGCAGAGATGCCCCTTTCTCTGCATCCTCACTAGCGTTTGTTGTTTCCTGTCATTTGGTTTTTGGCCAGCCTAACTGGTGTAAGGTGATGGCTCATTGTGGTTTTAATTTCATTTCCCTGATGATTAGTGATGTGGAGCATCTTTCCATGTGCCTGTTGGCTATCTGAATTTCTTCTTTGGAGAAGTGTCTGTGCAGATCTTCTGCCCATTTTTTAATCAGGTTGTTTGGTTTCTGGGTGTTGAGGCATGTGAGCTCTTTATATATTTTGGATGTTAACCACTTATCAGGTATGTTGTTTACTAATATATTCTCCCATACTGTAGGATGCCTTTTTGTCTGCTGCTGATGTCCTTTGCTGTACAGAAGCTTTGTAGTTTGATGTAGTACCATTGGTTTATTTTTGCTTTTGTTTCCCTTGCCTGAGGATAAGTGTTCAGGAAAAAGTTGCCCATGTTTATATTTAAGAGATTTTTGCCTATGTTTTCTTCTGTAAGTTTTATGATTTCATGACTTACATTGAGGTCTTTGGTCCATTTTGAGTTTACTTTTGTGTATCGAGTTAGACAATAATCCAAATTCATTCTCTTACATGTAGCTGTCCAGTTTTGCCAACACCAATTGTTGTAGAGGCTGTCATTTTCCCATTGTATATTCATGGTTCCTTTATTGTATATTAATTGACCATATGTGTATGGGTTTGTATCTGAACTTTCTATTCTGTTCCATTGATCTATGCATCTGTTCTTGTGCCAGTACCAAATTGTTTTGATTACTGTGACTTTGTAGTAGAGCTTGAAGTCAGAGAGAAAAATCCCCGTGCTTTATTCTTCCTTCTCAGGATTGCTTTGGCTATTCGGGGTCTTTTGTGGTTCCATATGAATTTTAGAACTATTGGTTCTAGTTCTTTGAAGAATGCTGTTGGTATTTTGATAGGGATTGCATTGAATCTGTAGATTGCTTTAGGCAGGATGGCCATTTTGACAATATTAATTCTTCCTATCTATGAGCATGGGACGTATTTACATTTATTGGTATCTTCTTTAATTTCTCTCATGAGTGTCTTGTAGTTTTCCGGGTATAGGTCTTTCACCTGCTTGGTTAGGTTTATTCCTAGGTATTTTATTCTTTTTGACGCAATTGTAAATGGAGTTTTTTTTCCTGATTTCTCTTTCTGCTAAGTCATTGTTAAGATATAGGAATGCAACAGATTTCTGTGTATTAATTTTTTATCCTTAAACTTTGCTAAATTCAGTTCTTAGTTTTAGTATTTTTTGGGTGGATTCTTTAGGGTTTTCTATGTATAATATTACATAATCTGCAAACAGTGACAGTTTAACTTATTCCTTACCAAGCTGGATGCCTTTATCTCTTTGTGTTATCTGACTGCTGTGGCTAGTACCTCCAGTACTATGTTGAATAAAAGTGTTAAGAGTGGGGGGTTGCCTTGAATTTTTAATTTTGGGGTATAGTTTCCATTTTCCCCTCTTATTTGAGGGCCAAGACCATACCATACCCTCATAATGCCATGCACACAGCTTTTACCTAATGGATATTTTATAATTTTCATTGGAAATCTGAGAGGGTTATACTTACTAGGATGAAGAATTGGTGGTGGTCATGTGCCCACATTTGGGTATTTATTTTTAAAAACCTCTTTGGATAACAGGTTTCAGTAAGAAAAATATATAGGCAATTCCACATTTATAGAAAGATGTAGTTCTAAGATAATTTGGCTACTAATATTAAACTAGTAATACTTTCAGAACTCTGAGATTGTAACAAGATGTAGACCTTAGTTCAAATCATGACTTTGCCAATTTCTGATTTTGTCCTTGGCTAGATCATATAATCTCTCTTAGTTCTAGTTTTCTTACTACTAAAAATAGAGATTTTTGTTTTCTTTTTAGAGCTGTTTTCACAGCAAGTAATAGGAATTTTACTATATTACTGGGTTTCTGATAAAACATTTTTTAGAGAAATAAATTATCACAATGCAAATAAGATTTCCATGCGTTAGCATGATGAGATACATCTGGAGCACAATGTAGATTATTATACCAAGTATATTATTAGACCTTATATATATATATATACAAGCATTCACTGATGTAATATCCCATTCCCACAGAATTTTCCTTTTGGAATTTGCATGATTACTAGTGGCATATCATTGAAAAAATTTTAAACTATAGCTTCTGTACCACACAGTGCTGTCATTTATAACTCTGGTTGCATTTGTAGGAATAAATATTGTTCTGTATCACTTTTTATAAACCCCTTTGCATATAAATTTAAAATACATTTTAAACCCCTTTGCATATAAATGTAAATTGGGAGAGAAAAAATAAAATGAAATATGTAAATGGTTGTACAGAGTGAATTATCATCTGAAGGTTATCTACTTTTCAGTGAGTCTGGCCTGCATTTCCTTTGCCCAGACATATAAACATAAAATAATAAGCTGTCTGTGTTGAAGTTGAAGTGTTGTAACTTTTGTAAAAATACTCAGACTTTGTTTTTTCTTTGCAGCTGCCTCTCAGAAAAGAAGCTGTTATTCTTGCTAGCAGCCTAAGTATGTGTGAGTGCCCCAGAATTGAATTTCTACAGCAAAAGTACAAGGATGAGAAGAAAAACTCCCTTGAGCTCTTCAGACATGGTAATACGCATACATGGTATTCTGAACTTTTAAGTTCTAAGTCTTCAAATTCATTGATTATTTTTCATAACATTTTAATAATTGGTTTTATCAAATTGGAAGATTTTCTGAAACCTATTTGATTTAGTGTTTACCAGTGCAGTGATGTGTGACTTTCTGATGTTACTTTAATCTGGTTGTCAACAAATATTTACTGAATGATAGTTATGTCTCAGCATTAATAGGATGAAACTTGTTTGTTATTCATATTTAATCCAACGTTATGTGAAACACTTTTTACAGTCTGCCTTTGTTTGCTAAGTTGTGTACTAAAAATAAGTAAACTATATATCACACACACACACACACACACACACACACACACACACACACACACACCACTCCAAAATCATAAGTCAGAAAAAAAGGACTTGGTCCATTTATGCAATATAAATATAAATATAAAGCACTCAGGAAGGCAGGACTTATTTCTCCTTAAACATCACAGTATAAGATGATGGGAAAACCTGGTTATAAATCTAAAATTGGCTAAAGACAAATTGTGATGTGTCTAGGTTGCTATGTAAGTTAACTTATAGAAGATAAACTTTTGGTATTTTAATTTATTCACAATTATCAGTACTTTTTTTACACCTTGAAAAATATATACATATATGCCTATTCGTAGTACACTTCTGGGAGACGTTTCCTGGTACCCACAGGTTGGAGAAACCAGTTCATAGTGTCTTTTCTTGCCTCATGCTCTTCCACTGTTTATTGTTTAGTTACACTAGTATCTATTGTTTACTGTGCATTAGGCAGTGTATCCCTTGGTAATAGGGACATAGTCTATGAAAACTAAACAGTTTCTCCATTAAGGTGCTTACACACATTATTAATAACACAAATAAGTGTAAAATTATAATTATCATAAAAGTTACAAAGATGAAGTATGAGGGCATACTACCAAAGGACATATAATAAGGATACCAAAGCAAGTCAGAGAAGAAGGACATCTCTTCTTTGGTCTCAGCTATCCAACCTACTGAAGACTGGGGTAATCAGAAATTTGGTTAACTTAATTCTATAAAAGTGAATTCTAGGTTGCAGTTGATAACTCTGTTATGATTCATGATAAACTATGGGTGCTTTGCCATCTTCCATTCAGTTAACGATAACCAGAAAATTAAGAAGATTACTGAATCTACAAAAAATTCACTTAAAAAAATATTTGCTTCTTTTTTCTTATTCTTATCTTTCCCACCTTATGAAATAGCTCAGAGTGATCTTTCTAGATACTTCTGGAATGTGCTTTCCAAAACAGGTTCTTTCATTTTACATTTTAAAACTTGCACATAGTAAAAAAAATCATCTAAATACTTCATGCTTAGTGATTAGAAGTTACTTTATAATATTCAGCAGTGACTGATAGGGATCTGCAGGACTGAATGAATCCCAACGTTCCTTAAGAATATAAAGGGAAAGGAAATGTTCTTCCAATATGTAGTCATGTATTGAGTGTCCCTTATGATCTAACCTATGTAGTAGGTGCTAATGATACAGGAATGAATTTTTACCCAATTAATGACAAGTTTCTTATTTTAAATTACTTAATAAAAAATATCACTAACTTATTATGTTCTTTCCTTCTTCCTTTTCTGTAAAGCTTTTCTTAACATACCTATTTCGTTTATTCAACAAATATTTATTGAGTTCCTACTTTTGATCAAGCAGTGTGCTATGGGCTAACAGTGGAAAACAATACAGCCAGTAGCTGTGCCTTTATAGAATATCCAGTGAAGTCTGGAGCCAATAAGGAAGATAATGTTGGAAATTTTCTAAAATTAATTATTGTTAAAAATGATTTCTGTTTTTTTCATATTTAGGCATCCTTCTCATTACAAAGGTTTTCCTTGGCCAGAGTGTTCAGGCTTGTGAACAAGACTCCATCAGTCAAGCTAACTATCCAATGGTTAATTCAGTGTTCATTCCTCAAAAATATTTACTAAGTATGTCTTCCATAAAGAGAAATGTGCTTTAATTTTTCAGTACAAAAACGTTCAGTACAAAACGTTTGAATGCTTATAGTTTAACCTCTATGTAACATACTTGTAAACCTTTCTATAAAATTTGTTCCTGACTACTAAATAGCTTCTCCTTTCCTATTCCCTACTTCAATGACTTTTATATTGCATAGGTATTATATTTTGTAAAATTTTGTTTTCTGTTACATATATTTCAAAAGATAAAAACCCACCCAACTTTTAACAACAAAAGTTTTAGAATAATACATTTGTCAACACACATTGAACAGAAAAGTGAAAAAGTGTGAAAAGGAAAGGGACATGAATAAAATTCAGTCCTACTAATCTATGTCGTGAAAGGGTGACTAGTAAGTATTTCTAGCATTCAACTCTCTAGGGGAGTTTGGAAGGTATAAGAAAAAAATTCTCAATAACATAATAGTTGGAACTTACAAGGTTTGTTGCTTATGGATCTATGTAAAAATTGAAAAAAAGTATGTTTCATTTTGAAGGGTGTTTGTCTTACTTGTTTTTGTTTTTGATTTTACTCTAGATTCTTTCATGGGACAAAGAAATTGTGATTGCAGCATTCGACACTGCAAGTGGTTTGTCTTTGACCATGACCTTGTTTTGCCAGAATATATCATTGAATTTGAGTATATTACAGTGGTATGAATGTATTTTTAAAGCTGGAATTTTTTCAATGAGAACAGATCAATAATTTGAAGTCTTAAAATGTTAAATTAAATGTATACTACATATATATAGTTATTCTGTGAAGGGCTTTATTTTCAAAACAAATCATTATAACACCAAAATATTTTTATTATGTAAATATATTACAAGGGTAATATATGGCTGTAGTCTCAAAGAATATAGAATAAACTTGAACATCTACTTTCACTTCTGCCCACTGCCACTCCCTTTCATGAAAGCCTTTACTGTTAACAGCTTTGTGTGTTTGCTTTCAATCTTTTTTCTGTGCATTTACATGTATAACAACATACACCATTTTACATAATAGTATCAAGTTTTATGCATTCTGTGTTTTTTGCCTTTAACAATGTGTTTTGGACATACTTCTACTTCAGCACATATATCATTTTCGTGGCTGTGTATTATTCAGTTATACTCTTATTTATTTGACTGTTTCCCTGTTAATGAAACATAGTTTGTTTCCAGCTTTACTGCGAGTTAAAACACTATTTCAGTGAACATCATAGATGTATATAGATGCCTCTGTATACAAATATGAAAGTTTCTCTGCAGGATAGATTTGTAGAAGAATTGAATAGCCAAAGGATATATGCATTTTATGTTTTGATCTTTTCAGTACTCTGTACAAAGGTATGGCCTTATTACTATTTCCAGTAGTGAAACAGTACTTGTTCATCTGCATCCTAACCAACACAAGATTTTATCAGTTTTTTTTTTGCACTCTCTGACAGACTAAAGGAGGATATTTTATTCTTTCTTACACTTTTGGATTATTTATAGCTTTATGAATCACCTTTGACCATTTTCTGTTGGACTCTTTTTCATATTGATTGGAAAAACCCTTATATGCATCTGGATATTAATCCTTTATCTTGTATATGTGTTGCAAATTTTTTCTGTCACCTGTCTTTTAATTTTATGTGTGGCAAAAAACTTATTTGTGATTTTAATTTGTAATTTACAATTTAATTTTTAAGAGGTCAGATCTCTCTATCTTTTCTATTATGGATTCTGAATTTTATGTCTCATTTCACAAGGCTTAATATAACTGTTTTTCTTGATTTTTTCCCAGTACTTATATAGGTTGTTCTAAATGTTTAGCTTTTTAAATCTATTTAGAAATTGTTTTATATTGTAGAAAGTAAAGGAATCAAATAATTTTTTTCTTAAAAATGGATAGCTACTTGTCCATCATTTTTTTGCTCTATTTTGAAATACCATCTATATCACTAAACTTTTTTTCTATATAAGGGGTCTATTTATAGATCCTTTTGTTCCATTGATGTCTGTGTCTAATCTGGGACCCCTACCACATTTTTTATTACAACCTTGATGATTTTTTTTAATATGTGATAGGGCAAATTTCCTTCCCCTGCCCCAGCTCTTCTTTTAAAAAAATTTCTTGGCTATTCTTCAACACTTTCTTTTACAAAAAAAAATTTAGATTCAGCTTGTTACTTTCTATTTTAAAAACCTACTGGGATTTTTTTTTGAGATTGTATTGAGTTTAAAACTTAATTTGGGGGAAATTGGCTATATTGCGGTATGGGGCCTCTCATCTCAGAACATAATAACTTACTCTGTTTACTCAAGTCCTCCCTCACAATTTTCTTTACATAGGTTTTAAACATTTCTTATTAAAGTACAGTTCTGGGCATTTACATTATATATTGTTATTATGAATGGGATTATATCAATCTATTATAATTTCAGCAAAAGACACCAAACTCAAACAGTAAACAAAATAACTCAAGTAACAAGAAGAACTTCAACATACTTCTGCTTGCCACTTCATTGGCCTTTTTGTTCTGAAGATCCAGATCTTCACTTCTGAGTTTTTCTTCTCTTAATTGCTTGATCATTTCTACCCTTCTATTTTCTGTTAAGCCTTCTAGAACTTCCATTAGTTAAACATTGGACACCTGAATTAATCCTCCATATCTTTTAATTTTTTTCTCTCATATTTTACATTTCTATTTCTTATTCTGTGGTGTGAAAGATTTCCTAAATATTAACTTCACATTGCTACTTTGATTTGCTGCCATATCCATTTGGTTTCTCAGGGAATTTCTTGAATATTTTTTATTTTGCTAATTGTTTTCATTTGACTTCGAAGTGTTTACCCTATTTTTTTGTAATAGCAGTCTATTCTATTATGGATGCTTTATTCTATCAGATTTTTAAAAATTCTCTTCTGGACCCTTTTCTTTTTCTAGAGTCGTTTCTGTTTGTTCAAGTTGTTTTTGCTCATTCATCTACAATTCTTACAATAATTACTTAATTCCTGATAATTACTTAGAGCATCTTTCTGCTGTTTTATTTGTTCACTCTGAATACCAGGTTTCTCTAAATCTGTACTTTAGAGTGGTTGTCTTCTGCATATTTTTAACTACAGGTTATATTTCTGCTCCTATTTGTCAAATCAGTCCCTAATGACTTAAATCTCACAATTTCAACTCTTTTGTTGGTGCCCTCTCTACTATTATAGAATATTTTTAAGTTATCTTTTGCCAGTTTTAAGGAATTTTCGGCAGTAGGGATGAGCATACCCATACTTAGCACACAATCTAATCTACTCTTATAGATTTCTTAATGTGATTCTGTCATCATAGATATTACTGTAAAACCATATACATATAACACAGATAGTACTCTGTAGATATGCTATATATATATACTTTGGATATTACTATATAACCACAACATCATAGATATTACTATATAACATAGATATTATTACATATTTTTTCTTGTTTTTTTATTAAAGTCTCATTGATATATAATCGTATGAAGGTTTCCCAAGAGCATCACTGTGGTTTAAACATTCACCCATATTATAAAGCCCCCACCCCCACCCCATATTGCCTTCACAGTCTATCAGCATAATAAGATGCTATAGAGTCATTACTTGTCTTCTCTGTGTTGTAATGCCTTCCCTGTGACCTACCTATATTGTGGTTGCAAATTATACTGCCCCTTAATACCGTTCTCCCTCCCCACCCCTTTCCCTTTGACAACCACTAGTCCCTTCTCGGAGCCTGTGAGTCTGCTGCTGTTTTGTTACTTCAGTTTTGCTTTGTTATTATGCTCCACAAATGAGTAAAATCATGTGGTACTTGTCTTTCTCTGCCTGGCTTATTTCATTGAGCATAATACCCTCTAGCTCCATCCATGTTGTTGCAAATGGGAGGGTTTGTTTTCTTCCTTTGGCTGAACAATATTCCATTGTGTATATGTACCACATCTTCTTTATCCATTCATCTACTGATGGACACTTAGGTTGCTTCCATATCTTGACTACTGTAAATAGAGTTGTAATAAACATAGGGGTACATATGTCTTTTTGAATGATGGATCTTGTTTTCTTTGGGTGAATTCCTAGGAGTGGAATTCCTGAGTCAAATGGTATTACTATTTTTAGTTTTTTGAGGAACCTCCATATTGCTTTCCACAATGGCTGAACTAATTTACATTCCCACCAGCAGTGTAGTAGGGTTCACCTTTCTCTGCATCCTCACCAGCATTTGTTGTTTCTTGTCTTTTGGATGGTGGCCATCCTAACTGGTGTGAGGTGATAGCTCATTGTGGTTTTAATTTGCATTTCCCTGATGATTAGTAATGTGGTGCATCTTTTCATGTGCCTGTTGGCCATCTGAATTTCTTGTTTGGAGAAGTGTCTGTGAAGATCCTCTGCCCATTTTTTACTTGGGTCATTTGTTTTTTGGGTGTTGAGGCATGTGAACTCTTTATGTATTTTGAATGTTAACCCCTTATCGGATATGTCATTTACAAATATATTCTCCTATACTGTAGGATGCCTTTTTGTTCTGCTGCTGATGTCCTTAGCTGTACAGAAGCTTTTTAGTTTGGTATATTCTCATTTGTTCATTTTTGCTTTTGTTTCCCTTGCCTGAGGATAAGTGTTCAGGAGAAATTTGCTCATGTTTATATTCAAGATATTTTTGCCTATGTTTTCTTCTATAAGTTTTATGATTTCATGACTTACATTCAGGTCTTCGAGCCATTTCAAATTTACTTTTATGTGTGGAGTTAGACAATAATCCAATTTCATTCTCTTAGATGTAGCTGTCCAGTTTTGCCAACACCAATCATTGAAGAAGCTGTCTTTTCCCACTGTATTCATGGCTACTTTATCATATATTAATTGACCATATTTGTGTGGGTTTATATGCTGGCATATAATTTTTCATAATATTCTCTAATAACTCTGTATTTCTGTGGTATCCATAGTGATTTTTCCTTTCTCATTTCTGATTCTGTTTATATGTGTTTATGCTTTTCTTCTTAATAAGTCTGGCTAGGGGGTTATCTGTTTATTTTCTCAAAGAACCTGGTTTCATTGATTTTATTGTTTTATTCTTCTCAATTTTATTTATTTCTGCTCTGATCTTTATGATGTCCCTCCTTCTGTTGATTTTGGGCCTCATTTGTTCTTCTTTTTCTAGTTTTATTAATTGTGAGTTTAGACTCTTCATTTGAGATTGTTCTTGATTCTTGAGGTAAGCCCTCTTGTTACATCCTTTCCTCTCAGAAATGCCTTTGTTGCGTTTGGACTGGTGAGTTTTCATTTGTCTCCATATATTGCTTGATCTCTGTTTTAATTTGGTTATTGGTCCACTGGTTATTTAGGATTTTTAAGCATCTGTGTGTTTGTGGGCTTTTTTGTTTTCTTTGCATAATTTATTTCTAGTTTCATACCTTTGTGGTCTGAGAAGCTGGTTGACACAATTTCAGTCTTTTTGAATGTATTAAGGCTTTTTTATGGCCTAATATGTTATCTATTCTGGAAAAAACACTCCATGTGCACTTGAGAAGGATGTGTATCCTCCTGCTTTTGGGTGGAGTGTTCCATAGATGTCTGTTTGGTCCATCTGTTCTAATGCATTGTTCAGTGCCTCTGTCTCCTTATTTATTTTCTCTCTGTTTATAATGGTTTTATCCTCTTTTTGGACTGACCCTTTTATCATTAAGTAATATCCTTTGTCTCTTGTTACTTTCTTTGTTTTGAAATCTATTTTGTCTAATCTAAGCACTGCTACTCCTGCTTTTTTCTCCCTATTATTTGCATGTAATATCTTTTTCCATCCCTTCACTTTTATGTGTATGTCTTTGGGTTTCAAGTGAGTCTCTTGTAGTCATCATATAGATGGGTCTTGTTTTTTATCCATTCAGTAACTCTGTGTCTTTTGATTAGTGCATTCAGTCCCTTTCCATTTAGAGTGATTATTGATAGATATGTATTTAATGCCATTGCAGGCTTTAGATATGCAGTTACCAAAGGTTCAATGGTAGCTTCCTTACTATCTAACAGTGTATCTTAGCTCTTATTTTGCTGTCTCAAGCAATGTAAAGGTCCTTTTTTATTTTCCCTCCCATTCTTCTTGTTCTTCCTCCTCCACTCTTTTTATATTAAGTGTCATATTCTGTACTCTTTGTGTATCCCTTGACTAACTTTGTGAGTAGTGATTTAATTTTGTATTTGCTTAGTAATTAATTGTTCTACCACCTTTATTGTGTGTTTATTTTCTCTAGTGACAGCAATTTAGCCTTAGGAGCATTTTCATTTAGACCAGGTTCTTTAAGATACCTTGTAGAATAGGTTTGGTGGTGGTGAGTTCCCTCAACTTTTGCTTATCTGGAAATTGTTTAATCCCTGCTTCAAATTTAAATGATAATCTTGCCAGGTACAGTGTTCTTGGTTGTAGCCCCTTCTGTTTCATTGTATTAAATATATCATGCCACTATCTTCTGGCCTGTAAGGTTTCTGCTAAAAAGTCTACTAATAGCCTGATGGGGTTTCCTTTATAAGTGATCTTTTTTCTCTTTTTGGCTGCTTTCAATACTCTCTCCTTGTCCTTGATCTTTGCCATTTTAATTATTGTATACCTTAGTGTCTTCCTAGGGCTCTTTGTATTGGGAGATCTCTGCACTTCCATGACCTGAGTGACTATTTCCTTCCCCAGACTGGGGAAGTTTTTAACAATTACTTCCTCAAAGAGACTTTCTATCCCTTTGTCTTTCTCTCCTTCTTCTGGTACCCCTATAATACTAATATTGTTCTGTTTGGATTTATCAATCAGCTCTCTTATTATTCTTTCATTCCTAGAGATCCTTTTTTCTCTCTGTTCCTCAGCTTCTTTGTTTTCCTGTTCTCTAATATCCATTTTATTTACCATCTCCTCTACCTCTTCTAATCTACTTTTAAATCCCTCCATTGTATGTTTCATTTCAGATACTGTATTTTTCAAAATTTCTATCTGTTTTTTGAAGTCCTCCCTGAGATCTTGAATATTTTTCTGCAGCTCCATGAGCATGTTTATTACTTTTGTTTTGAAATATTTATAAAGAAAATTAGTGATTTCAGTTTCACTGAGCCCTCTTTCTGGTGTTTTTCTCTTGAATTTTGGTTTGGATGAAATTCCTTTGTCTTTTCATTTTTTTTTTTTTTTAGTGTTTCTTATGGGATAATAGATTTGTGTCAGAGGTGTACTCTAGTGCCCAGAAGCTCAGTTTCCTATGTGAAAGCCCCAGCTATTGGTGCACAGTGGGTGTGGCACCTTTCTGCCTTGCCTGTGGTGTTCTGCTCCAGCCTGCTTCAATGGTGTGTGCATAGATGAGCAGGACCAGCACCTGCCTGGAGGAAAGAGCTCCCAGGGCTGGGCTGCACACACACCCAGCTGTAGCACTCAAGCTACCCTCCACCCAGCCTGCTGCAATGGCACCATGCTGGCAAGCAGCACTGGTGCCTGCTGGGAGGAAATTGCTCCTGGACTGGACTGTGCATGCATATCCTTGGCTTGCCTAAAATAGGGTTGAGCAGGCTGAGGGTTCCCCACCTGCCTACCTGGGAGTAAAGTTTGGTTTTACTGCCAGCCAGCAGACCACGTATCACTGTGGAAATTCTTCAGGCTGTGTTTCCAGTGAGGGATATGGAGCGTCTGAAGCTCCTGAGGGCTCCCGGGCTGGGGAAGTATTGTCAACCTGAACTTTGTCCTAAAAAGAGAGCTCTGTGCAATTCTTGACTCTCTGGCACCCCTTACACTGCTAGGAAGTCTTTCAATCTGCCTCTTCTGCTTTCTTTCTCAGGGGGGCTGGTAGAGCATGCCTGTGTTCCACAGGAGGCAGCCTCCCCAAATGTTTTGCCTGTCTCTGTTGTCTTGCCTCACCAATCACCAGCACACCATGCAATGTGGGCTCATGTTCCAGAAGCAGATCTCCATGGCGAGGTGTTCAGGGTCCTGGGCTTCTACTCCCTCCCCACTCTGTTCCTCTCCCTCCCTCCTGTGGACCAGGGTGCGAGGAGGACTTGTATCCTGCCAGATTATGGCTTTGTCACTTGACCCTTTTCTATAGGTTCTTTTCTTCCCCAGATGTAGGTGGTCTGTTCTGCAGTCTTCAGGTTGATTTCAGGCCTAGGTGTATTTGCTATATTTTTGTGTTCTATGTGATTTGGAGGGAGGTTTTTGCCTTGCCTTCCTACACCACCATCTTTTTTTCTCCATCTCTTATTATATATTACTATATAAAAGTTAATTCTTCTTTTCTATGTAGCCAATTTTTTTCCAAAATAATAAATACAGAAACCACATTTTCAATATTTTAATAAATTTTTTAGGTCAAGGATCACTCTTTATTTTCTTCATTCAACAACATTATTCCAGAAGAAAGCAAAAAAGTTTCAGAAGAATCAGTATTGTCCCAGGATTTGAAATTTGATGATGAAGTTATAAAAATGGATCCTAGGATCAAGCCCAGACCAATACTTACTAGTTTGGATGATACAACAATACTTTCCCTTGGCAGAACTAACATTTACAGTCATATTGTGGTAAGTATTATAAGGAATAAAATTTTGGAACAGGAACCTTGAATTTAGAGCCCAAATCTACCATTTGAAGTCTAAAGATACTAAGGCACCTATCTGATGATGCCAGGCATCATGCTGTCAAAGTTAGAAATTTTCAGCCCTTTCTTTCTATGAGGACTAGATCAGTGCTCTCTAATAACAATAAAGTATGAACCACATAAGCAGTTTAAATTTTTCTTGTAGCCTTTAAAAAACTTTTAAAAATATTAGAAAGATAAATTTTAGTTAATCCAATCTGACCTAAGTATTATCATTCCAGTGTGTAATCACAATCAAGATTCATTAATCAGATAGTTTCATACTAAGTCTTTGAAATCTGGAATATATTTGATACTCACAGCACATCTAATTTTAGACTAGCCACATTTCAAGTACTCAGTAGCCACATATGGACAGTGTAGGTCTAGAGGTAGCCTATTAGTTTGCAAGGGGTTTTATTCCTTAATAACAAATAAGCTCCCTTTAAATGATTAAGATAAAGAAGGATAAGTTTCAAATTAGTTTCCAGGATTAATCAACATGGAATATGGGAGCTTTATCTTTACAGAATCAATCAACAGAATTTGAGTTACTTATTGAAGTGACTTACTTAGGCAATTCTATTGAGATAATAAGCCTGTTTCTGTATCTTGATTTTCAGGTATGTCCATTTCAAATCTGGTACCATTCTTTCCAAACTACCTTTATCTCTCTGAGCTCGACTATTTTAGCCTTCTAACCTGTCTCCCTGCACTCTACTGTCACAACATTGCACAACTCCAGGAGGCATAATTCCCATTATATTCTGTTAGTGTTCTCTTTGGATGCCATTCATTATGTAATTGAATATAACTCAGTACAAGGTAGGAGGGATAGAGCTATGCAGCAGAGTCCCTGTCTTGTTTCCACTTTGAAAGCCTAGCCTATTCTCCCCGTTGAAGCTAGAATAAGCTTTCCAAAATGCAAATCTGATCATGTCCACCTTGTCATCCCTCACCATTCCTGCTTGAAATTCTCAAAAGATTTTCCACTGTTTTAGAAATAAAACCAAAGTTCTTAGTATGGCCTATAAGGTTTTGAGTGGCCTGGTCTCTGGCCTGCCTTTCCAGACTCTTTTCATATTACCCTCCTTTTAGCTCTCTGTGCTCATCCTCCCTTCTGTTTCTTAAATGCTTCCTGCTTGCAGCAATCCTTGCAGATTCCTTCTGCATGGAGGGTTCTCCCCTGATCCCTTTCTCCTAGTTAACTCCCACACTTCTTTTAGATCTATACTTAAGCATTACAGTCTCTTACCTCTAGTCCAAGTCAGACTCCTTTGTTATATGCTCTGAACCCTTCCTAGGGTGTGAATTCCAAGGGGGCAGAGGCTATACAGTTCTTAGTCATGGATATCCCCAGCACCAGGGCAACGAGGTAAGACTGTACATTGCACAGGAGGGCCACATCTAAGGGGCACCCTTTGAAACATAGAGTAGTATATTTACTACAACAATTTTCTGACAGCTATTGGGAAAGTTTCTTGTACTAACAAAATCAGCATGTTGTGACAATCTCAAAGTTCAAAATAAAGGTGTCTTGAGGAAAGGATGCCTTTTTCTAATTTATTCATAAATGCTGTAGGGATTAACATAAGCTCCATCATCTAGCACAATACCTGGCACTCATAAGATACTCGTTAGCTTCTTGTTTAAAAAAAAGGAATGTCTTTATAAACAGTGAGCAGTTCGCATGGAGAAAGTGGGTGTTTGCTTGAATCTGCAGAACTAGTAAGCAAATTGATATTTGATAAATTGACAAGAATACTTGAGAAGACAAGTTACTCTTACACAACACTGCATTGTCTTCCTATGTATGCTTTGAAAGCTAAGATACAGATAAAAATTCAGAAGTGATTTTTGTTCCCTTGAAAGTCAATTACATTGTTCCATGGTGACAGTTCTATGTCTATTGTTTATGGTGACAATTTTTTTCAACTGATTGTGTGAAACAGAACGAGAATGCAAAAGATATGTTTTAAAGATTAGTAAGTGCAGTCAAAAGTTTTAAGTCTGCTTCTAAAAATATTCAAAGAATGTCTTTCAAGAAGTTTATAGGGTTGCTTTGGTGAAATTACATCATCAACACCCAGCAAATCTTCAAATCTAGGAGATTAAGTCATTACCTTAGCTAATTATTATTAGAGAGGAAGGAAAACTTCACATGATGGCAATATCATCTTCTTTATCATAAATGTGTGGCATAATCATTATAGGAGTAATCTTCCAGTTGACCTGTGGGAGAAATTATTGTTTCTTCACTATAATGTCAAGATTTCATATTTGAACAATAAATTTTTATAATGAAATTTTAGTAATGAAAGGTTTATTAAAGGAATGTGTTCTGATTGGATTGAGCTCCCACAATGTATATTTCTATAGATTTAAAGGGATTAAATGAAAGTAAAAAAAATTAAAAGCACCAAAAATAGAGGAGCTTTTTCATCTTTAATTTTCCTATATGGCTAAAAAGCCAGCAAACTTTCCAGGGCTTCTAGTAAGAAAACTAGACATTACAACAAGAATGTTTTACCCTTTGTCCTCTTTCCTTTGTGCCAACACTATAACAGAAATTCAGGCTACATGCATATTATTTTCTTTTCACTCCTCCCTACTAGATTGAGTTTTATGAGGACATCTATAAAAATAAATATATAAATATTTATATAACATGTAATTTATATAATATACATAAAATATGTATGTATTTATATAATACATATATATTTACTGAGAATTTGCTGTTTTAGGCAATGAGGTAAGTATTGGGGCTTCAAAATTAATTATTTTCCCTTCCTCAAGGACATCATTCTCGTGAGGCAGACAGATATGTAAACAAGTATAGGAAGGCTGGAGTTGCTAGAAGAGCTCCACAGAGTAAGATGTTTTGTATGGATTTTTGAAGGATTTAACAAATTCTGTTGGTTACATCTTGTGGGCAGAGGAAATACTCTATCTAGATGCACCTGGTTTTGAAAGATTTTGGTGTCTTCAGGGAACATTGAGAAATTCAGTGTGACTAGATCATATGGTGTGTGATGGTGGAAGGCAGAGGTATAGGTTGGAATGCAAGGAAAATACATGAGGCTTCAGCTGGAAGAGTAGGGGGTTATAGCCACATGAGGATGAATTTTAGAAGGCAGAACTTAAAATTTAGATTCTTTAACAAACAGACTTTCTGTTTTTAAAGGCCTTAACTTTGGCAGCTTGTGGTTAGATTTAACTGAAGTCAGACTGGTGTATGGAAATCCAGTCGAAATTATTGTAGTAGTCCAAAGATCAAATAATAGTCTGAACTGAGGCACTGGTAGTGGTGATGGTATGGAGCTATTGTTTGAGAAGCATTTCTAGAATCAAATGCATATGGAAAAGAGGGAAAGGGGGTGATCAACGATGTCTTTTAGATAGATAATGAAACTCTTAATACAGATTGAAAATACAGACTTCCAAACAGATACACAGGGAGGATGATGAATTTAGTTTTGGATGTGATAAATAAGTATAAAGTATCTGTAGAATCTGTTATGGGTGATACCTATATATGACCTGTAGAATAAACTTTTCTGCATTAATTGGCCCTTGTTAACAAGTTTAGCTACGTTTTGACAACTATTCAACATTTAATTATTTCTCCCTGCCAGAAATTTATTACATCCACAGTATAATAGGGTGTGAAATTGTGGTGTTGAGTGAAGAGGGTTGGGAGATAGACAGATGCCTGATTTTATCAGAATACCCAGTTGTGAATACTATGGTCAATTATATTAATACATTTTCTAGTGGCACTGTTTGTTTTGTAGACTATACATAAATATAATCTTCACTTGATAGTATTCAAAGTATAGTTTAAAGACAGAAAAATACATAGCCAATCAGGGTCTCCCCTAAATATAAAAACATAATATTCATTTCTATATAGCCCAGGGTCAAAGACAGGGGAAGCCTGGGCCAAATTCTGATATACAAATTATTATAGATACTCTTCCACCTTCTTCTTTGACATTCTGTCTTTTTTTTTCTTTTTTTTTTGTCATTCTCTCTTATTTTAACACCCTTAGCCTTTCCTATTCAGTGCCCTCATACAGTTTCCTACGATCAAGGTGTATCTTTGCCAGCCTCTCTCTTGTGGGGTATAACTAGTCCATACCCAAAATCTTCAGGGCCTACATTGTTCACTGGAAAACCTGAGGAATAGACCTGCCCTGATAAATATCTTAACAATATATTTAACTATTTTCTATAAAGAATTTCATGCAAATAATTGATAAACTTAGACCAAGTGGGAAATCTAATAAAGAACCATGTCCAGTGATGCTATTATAAACTATATCTTTTAAAAATCATACATTCAATTTTTTCCTATTGGCTCTTTCTTAATGTTATTTAGATGACTATGCTGTAGATACAATATGTCTTACTTTTAATTTGTGTTTTTCCTTACTTCAGAGCCTGAATCTACATGGAAACAGCTTGAGTAAACTGAGAGATCTCTCCAAGTTAACAGGACTTCGAAAGCTTATTATCAGCTTTAATGAATTTACTTGTTTGGATGATGTATATCACTTGGTAAGAAGTGTCTTTTGAAGTTATTTAAGTAAAATAAAATTATTAATTTAATGGATAACTTATTTTTGTAATTATGACCTCATTATTACCATATTTCAAGATTATACAACCCAAATCAGGAGCAAAACATGCATACATTATAGGTATGTTACTTTCTCTAAGATAGTCTTAGGTTTAGATTCTATTTGCAAACTAAATACACACCTGTGGCCATATCTGATTTCTAGCTACTTTAAAATAAATTTACTTAAACTACTCCAGACTTGTTTTTAAACATCCTTTAGAAAGTGTCATTTCCATTTTTTTCTGCTCTTGTTTTCCAACTCTTATTTTTCACCTTGTGAGTCCTTGTTTCTTCTTCGCTTTCTAGGTCACACTTCACCTCTAATGTCAGTTTTTCCCAAACATTCATTATCGACATGGTTATTTCTCTTTCTCTCTGTCTTGTCCTTTCTCCCTGAATGCCACACACACAGACCTTGTTTGACTTGTGTTTGCCTTCTCATAGGGCATAGGACAAATACAGTAATACACAGGTATGGATCTTATCTGGCTTTTGTTTTCCTTTTTATGTATCATGTAAGAAAAATAATGGCATATGTGGTCCCAAAACTCCAAACCAGCATCCTCTGTTTCTGTGGGTCCCAGGTGACTGACAGACTTTCCAGAATATATCGTCATTCTCTGCTCTTGTTTGTTCTCTACTCTACCTCCTTACAACCATATAAAAGCCCTTGCGTTGCTGCTTCTACCACTGTGGTGGGAGCTTACTTTGCTTGACCTTAGGTGTTAGTATTAAACACCCTTCCTTGTTTCTTTCGGTAAGCCAAAGTCCTTGGTAACAACCCCTGACAGTCTCTGTTCAGTGTACAACTGAGGAGAGAAAGTGGTGTACTAGAGGTCCCAGGACCAAAGATAAAGAGTTGGCATTTTTCATTTAATTTTTTTTCTAGTGATTTGCTTGCAGTTCCAAAGGTTTTAACAATCATTGTGATTTTGCTTAGTCACAACTTTGCAGGGTCTCTTAAGTAGGGCAAGGCATTTAGAGAGTGAGAGCTTAGCCAGCTGCCCAACATGTATTTTGCAATGTGGCTTTGCTGTTCTCCTGAAATAGAAAAATCTCTTTCATTGCCATAGCCTCACAGCCTATTTATTGGATGAATAGTACCATGGTCATTTTAAAGATAAGGGAACTGGACAAATTGTATGCCTAAATGGTATTTTCAAATTTTTGGATTAGCAGAAATGGCTAAATATAGATCTCTCAAACATCAAGTATTTGATGTTTAATTGCATCTCTAAAAATGACTGAGGATGTTACGGGGTGGTCAGAGAGAGGAGATATTCAACACGTGTATTCTTTCACTGTTTTATTGTAATATAAAACAGGCACAGAAAACTATATACAAACATGTAGTTTAGTAAATTACTGTAAGGTGAATGTGCTTATAACCAGTACCCAGTTCAAGAAATACAATTTTGCCACCCATAGCATAAGCCCCTTCTATATGCCCCATTCCTTCAAAAAGTCATCCTGACCTCTGTAGCAATCCTCTCCCTGCATTTTCCCCCATAGTTTCAGCACCCAAATGTGCATCCCTAGCACAATAGCTTGGTTTTGCCATTTTAAAAAACTTACAGTATCTTTTAAATATCAATTTATGTGTCTCCTTCCATCCCCTTCTACTCCCTTAGTTTATCTGTAGAAGTACTTGGACCTTCCAGCCCAAAGAGTTTCCCACAGCCTGGACCCTGCTGATTTGCTTACTTATGATACAACCCTGTACGCCCTCTACCTTCCTTATTTTCGGCAAATTGACAACTGGATCCAGAGACCAGATCAGACTTAGGTTCCATTCCTTTGGGAAGACTTTAAAAGACACATAATATTCAGCTGTCTCACTTTTCTGATGCCAGCAGCCATCATTAATGCCTAAATCCATTAAGTCCTTGGGAATTACAAAATGGCAATATTCTTTTGTTTTTTTAAATTTTTTATTAAGGTGTGATTGATATACACTCTTACAAAGGTTTCACATGAAAAATCAATGTGGTTACTACATTTACCCATATTATCAAGTCCCCACTCATACCCCAATGCAGTCACTGTCCATCAGTGCAGCAAGATAAAATGACAATATTCTTATTCTATTATTTCTTTTCCATTTATTAGTTGGACCACCTTTACATAGAGACATTTCCCTTATATCTATTATTTGGTTAACCAGTGGTGCCATCATATATAAAATACAGAATAAATGCTTATTTGCCTTCCTTACCAACTGTGAAGATAATGAGTTGGTTACTTATGATTTCTCACAGATGAGCAATTATTTCTTTGTTTTAATATCATTAGGAACACAGGGACTTAAACATATTTGGTGAGATTCATTCCATTGTAGTCATTATCATGATTGAAGCTCAAATTATCCCACCCTCCCTCAGTGGAGCACCTTAAAATTAGCTCCTTCTGCCATGACCATGGTAGTCTTTAATAGCTTCTTTGGCATCTCGTATGAGAGATGTTCTATACACATTTTACGTATATTCTGTTGCAGACATGGGATCAGACATTTCTTCAAGGAGTCCTGGTTTATTTTAGAGAGAAGTGGTATTTTAGGGCTACAGTCTGGGTTGATCATTGTTTCTAGGTCTTTCTACTGGACAGAACTTGTGTGGGGAGGTGTGTGTGTGTGTGTGTGTGTGTGTGTGTGTGTGTGTGTGTGTGTGTGTATGGTTATATATGTGTGTTTATAACTAAAGCCAGCCTAATGAATTGATATTGATATTCCCAATTCAAACTCAAGACTGCAAATCTTTTAGCTTAATCTCTTCCCTGTTATTTATATCTATTTCATTTATTTCTCTCAAACCAATAATCCTAATTCTCAAGAATACGAAGTGATAGAATTAAAATACTTAATTATTCATTTGTTTTATCCCTGTTACACACACAATCTCAGAATGACAGCACTCATACTCTCATTAATATCATTACTGGATTTTTTAAATTTTATGTATGTTCTTTCAATTTTTCTGCATTTCAGAAGAATTGTATCTACTTTGTCAAAGCATGTAGCCTTATACTCTGTACACTTCCCTTTTAGTTCATTGTTAACTATATATTTAATTCTCATCACTGGCCCTTAGGTTGTTTTCTCTCTAAACATTATTATTGTCTGAAAAATATGCTATGATAGCTTCCTCAGAAGGCCTTATGGGAACAATATCCCTTCTGTTACTGCATGTTCATAATAGATAATAGTTTCTCTATGTACATTATACTTGAAAGAATGTTTTTCAATGTATAAAATCCTCAGCTCGCAATTTCTTTTCCTGAGCATCTTAAATGTTAATTCATTTTCTTCTGGCATAAAGTGTTGTTGTAGGAAAGACTAATGAGGATGTATTAATTTTCTTCCCTTATACGACACATGCTTTTTCCTTCTAGAGGCCAAAGACCTTTTTTAGTTTTCTTTAAAGTCTCATATTTTACTAGAGTATGTCTTAGTATTAGTTATAAGTTAATATTTCAGATTCATGATATGCTTTTCTGAAATATAGATAAAAGTCATTTTTTTCTTTCATTTCCTTTTTTGAATCGGAAGTTTTTAGCAATTTTTGTTTCCTTCCTTTTGGTTTTCCCATTATCTATATAGTGAACTTTATCTTCATTATTTGTGATTTTCTCTTCAGTCCTTTTCATCTCTTAATTTAAAATTTTAAGT